TAGCGAGGACACAGTACACACCATGCTCACGAGTGAGGACACAGTACACACCATGCTCACTAGTGAGGACACAGTACACACCATGCTCACTAGCGAGGACACAGTACACACCTTGCTCACTACTGAAGACACAGTACACACCATGCTCACTAGTGAGGACACAGTACACACCTTGCTCACTAGTGAGGACACAGTACACACCATGCTCACTAGTGAGGACACAGTACACACCTTGCTCACTAGTGAGGACACAGTACACACCATGCTCACTAGTGAGGACACAGTACACACCATGCTCACTAGCGAGGACACAGTACACACCATGCTCACTACTGAGGACACAGTACACACCATGCTCACTAGTGAGGACACAGTACACACCATGCTCACTAGTGAGGACACAGTACACACCATGCTCACTACTGAAGACACAGTACACACCATGCTCACTACTGAAGACACAGTACACACCTTGATCACTACTGAAGGCAGTACATGCCATGATCACTAGAGAAGACACAGGAAACAGTGCTCGGTAGTGAAGACCGAAAGCCTTTGCTGCTAAAGTCAGGATCCAGGCTCAGCCGCTCACCCCCACTGCTTCTGTTGGTGTAATGTTAGAAGTTAGTTAGATCAGTTTGGCGAGAAAAGGCGCCCACACTGAAAAGATGACATCATCGCTGTTGGTAGGTAATAGGAGCTTATGCTTCGGAAACCCCAGAGCGTCCATCCACAAGTCCCAGGAGAAGTAATGAAGGACTCAGGAAAGTCAGCCTGCCCAGGTCAGCTGCATCTCTGTGTCCTACCAGGAATGATCTGCAGAAATTACAAAAGCAGTTCCATCTACAGCAGTTTCAGAAAGAATGAAATACTTGGGGCCGGAGAGATGGCTCAGAGGTTAAGAGCACTGGCTGATCTTCCAGAGGTCCTGAGTTCAATTCCCAGCAACCACATGGTGGCTCACAACCACCTGTAATGAGATCTGGTTGTGCAGGCATACATGCAGACAGAATACTGTACTAAATAAATAAATAAATAAATCTTAGGAAAAAAGAGAATGAAATGAAATCCTCGAGAATTAACCAAGAAAGTAAATGCCGTATACAGCAAATTCCAAAACATTACTAAACGAGAATAAACATAAGTGAGAATACATTCCACATTCTTGTGTTGAAAAATTCAAGAAGTCAGCATCATTCAGATACAAACAAAAACCTAAAATTCTTACCAAATTCCTAGGGGGCCCTGAATATCCAGAACAATATTTGAAGTATAAAGCTTGGGATTCATGTTTCCTGATGTCAGAAATTATTACAGAGCTGCAGTGACCGAGCCAGGCCTGGTGACACACACTTGTGGTTCTGTTTCACTGTAGCCGGTCCAGGCTGGCCTTGAACTCCTGACCCTCCCGTCTCCATCTCCCCGCTGGCACGGGTGCATGGGGTGGGCCTCTATTTTCTTATACTTCTGGGTTTTTTTTCCTTTTTCTATTTTTACAAATCATGTCCCTCCCCCACCCCGCCCTACCATCTGTTCTAAGAGCTGGGAGTCAGGGCAACCTTTCCTACATGAATGAAAAGCCCAGCGCTGTTCCCTGTGCTCTTCCAGGCCCGTCTGCCCAGCGCTCTCCTCCAGAGTCCAGGAATGTGTCACCGGCTAGATCAGCAGTCAGCTGCTGGGAGACAAAAGGCAGGGTGTTGTCAGCTGGCAGCACTGCACAGGTGCCTGAAACGTGAAAACCTGGCCTCGCTGCTTCTTCCTCCTCAGGCTCCTCACTTCCCTCGCTGCTTCCTGCCATACCTTGGCCTCTCCGTCCCCAGAAGCTCTGGCTCTTTCTCACCAGGTTTCCTGGTCTCTAGGTTCCTGTGATGATGAGTGTTGATTTTCCCAGAATGCTCGGGCGGATGGCACACTGGGTGAGGAGAAGCCAGGAAGACTATGATGCTGCTTTGACCTTCAGGACGGGGGAAGTGACGCTAACAGGATGGGCCCTTCTGCCATTCTTCCTGGCCATTCTGTGTGAGTCACAGTGCCGGGCAAGTGCTCTGAGGAGTGAGGGAGTCCCGGTGTAGCACAGCGTAGGTGTGCGAGGTAGGCCAGACAGCGCTGGCCGCCCTGGGCTGGCTTCCTGCTCTGCTCACCTGGCTCGCAGATTCGAAAGCAGAGGCAGCCCAAGGGACTCTGTCTCGGGTAGTCTTACCCTGGGTGCCTGCTGCATTGTTCTGAGAACCAGCCTACCTGTTTGCCCGGTGTCATTAGTGCCCTGTGGGTCATGATCCCTTAGCCAGGGCACCTCTAATACTTGCCCGCCGCTCCAGAGCGGAGACTGTTCGTTAGAATAGCACTGTGCGCTCAAACAGGCGCTACAGTGGTTGTTAATGGAAGTGTCCGGCAGTGGTGGAATTGGATTCGGGAATGCCCTGTGGTGATCAGCAGCTCTGGGGAAGGGAGAATTTACTTCTGAGTAGGTAGTACCCAACCAGGGGGATGTCAGCTCAGATGGCTAGACTATTCTTTGGAGAGTAATATCCAAGACGTTCTTCAAGGGCAAGTGTGGGCACAAGGCAGTGCTGCAGCTGGGGAGAAGGCTTTAGGAACATAGTGTGAGCCGGGTGTAGTGGTCCACGCCTTTAACCCTAGCATTTGGGAGGCAGAGGCAGGAGGATCTTTGTGAGTTTGAGTCCAGCCTGATGTACATAGTGAGTTCTAGGACAGCCAGAGTTAAACAGATCCTGTCTTGAAAAAAAAGAAGAAATATGTCGTCTGGGATCTTGAACATACTGGATTTGGCAAGAACTAGATGGTTCTGAGTGCATTGAATCCTGGCAGGAGATTGCCAGTGGCTGCCAGTTAGGAACAGAGAAAAACCATGTTCCTTCTTGGCATGGGTAATCAGGCCGGGTAGGGTAGGAGGCTGTGAACACAGGTAGGATATGGGGGTTGGGGTTGGGAGGGGCAGAGCATTGGCCTGCTCTGAAACCTGGTCACAGTCAGCTATTGTTCCTGCCACCCTTTCTTCTGCCTCCTCATACAGACGTGTGGAGTTTTCCACTCTTACAAGCTGTCTTTTGACTGGCTACCATTTGTAAGTCTGGGCTTGTAAGAAAAGAGTGGACTCTTTATGGCCTTCAGAATATTTTCTTGCTGCCATGACCTAAAATAAACCTTGGTTTAGGAGAGACTGGAGGTTGGTTCTGATTGATTCCAGGATTTCTTTTATTTGTCTTTGTATCTCTTCTTTACTTGTGGGGCTGGGGGTGGAACCAGAACCTTCCACACACTCGTGCTCTGCCACTGAGCCACACCCCCATATAATCTTGTGTTCTTGGCCTCGTGGCTATCGAGACAGGCCATGGTTATTAGCAGAGTGGTATACAGAGCCAGGAGGGCCACTGAGCACATCATGGTTTTGTGGTAAAAACCAAGCCAGTGTGTGTGGTAAGAATCCCCAGCTTGCACTCCTGGGTTTGGCCTCTCCCCTGGGAAGCAGGAGGGAAACGCCGATCTCTGTACCTCCCACCTCCACCTGTGGAACCCAAGATGTGTCTCTGGAGGTTTTGATTTAATCCCATGAAGCTTTAGCGGCACGTGTAGAAAAATGAACATTCCCCACTGCCTTGAGCCTTCTGTTGCTTGGTGATTTTCCCAGAGAAACAGCTTTACTCGGTCTTAGGATCTTCCGTGTCGTAGAATTTGGGTCTGTCTACAAGAATTGGTTCCATCAGCACCAACAGCCGGGAGGCTCCCACCAATGTGAGTCCATCCACTGGGTTGTGGGAGCATCAAGTGCGGTGCCTCTGTCCAGTTCCTCCCCTTATCCCAGAGTAAAGCCTCTTCGTAGCAAAGCTCCTCCCAGTCTCATTGATCCCAGCGGTGACTGAGCTGTTCTGACTGGAGCACTGTGAGATTGCTACGCCAGAATCGTCCTAGCATTCAGCTCAGGATGTCGGGGCTCTGAGAGTTCGCAGCTCCTCAGTCCTTCCTCCTCACCTTCCAAACTGGGAACTAGAGCCACAGGAGGAAGACAGACTTCCCGAGGGTCATGTGCAGACTCCCGGCTGGGGCAGGACTCCCTGCACTCCCTGTTGTATGCCTCTTAATAGTGGTTCCTTAAACACGGAACAGAAGAGATCGGGGGACAAGTGGGTGCAGAAGTATGTAAAGCTGCTGTTTCCCGCCTGTTCCGATTCTTGTCTGCACACATATGGGGAGACTGGTGGTGGCCATTTCTAATGATTCCTTGGTATGGATCCCGTCATTGTTAGTCTAAAATACGGAATTGGAAAATGCGACGGCTCTAAACGTGCCCCGCTGTACCACGTGCGGTGAAAGCTTGGCGATTCTTACGTGCCAAGTGACCGCTGTGGCTCCTGCTTCTCAGCCATCTCCGACACGGTCCTTTGGCTTTCCACAGCCCTCTCTGTACCAATTCTTGCAGCCGTCTTTCAAGAGGACTTGTCATCCGGCTGGCCTCTGTCAGATTGGTGTAGCTCTGGTCTCTCCCACCAGCCATTCGGTAAACTTCAAGGTCATTCGTGCTTAGTACCTCCGGGTAGTGGGCTCAAGACAGCGGGTTCAAGACAGCGAGCTCTCCAGCCATCCCCACAAATGAGTGTGTGCCATTTTAATTGTTTGGCTTGCTGCGCTTTCCTAGTTTCCTAGTGGCCTCCATTGGAAAACTGGGAGTCACTCTTGATTGCTGTGTATGAAACCGTCACAGGACAGTGGGGGCGACCTCCCCACTCAGTCTTGCATGCCCCGCTTGCCTGCCTGAAAGCCTCTGTGGTCCCTGAATAGCCCATTGTAACACTGTCTCTGTGATCGTGTTGCCTGCTAGACCGTCAGCTCCCCAACACCCTGTGTGGTGCCTGGAACGTTTCAGTGCACATCTGTCAAGGACACGAGTGTCACCACTCTTTGGGAAGGAACGTGTCTCCAGCGAAATGCTCACAGGCGCAGAGATGCTGACCGTTTTCGTTCTCTTCCTTGTTTTCCTTTAGACTAAGGTGACAGTGCCAGGTGGATCAGCAGCCATTCCACTGCCCGCTCTGCGGTTGTGCCAAGAGTAGGGGAGCATGGAGGAGAGGAAGCAGGAGACAACGAACCAAGCGCACGTCCTCTTCGACCGGTTCGTCCAGGCCACTACCTGCAAGGGAACCCTCAGGGCCTTCCAAGAGCTCTGTGACCACCTGGAACTGAAGCCTAAGGACTATCGCTCCTTCTACCACAAGCTCAAGTCCAAGCTCAACTACTGGAAGGCCAAAGCCCTCTGGGCCAAATTGGACAAGCGGGGCAGTCACAAAGACTACAAAAAGGGGAAAGCCTGCACCAACACCAAGGTAAACCTGGCTGTGCTTGGGGCCTGGGATCACAGCACAAGGGCTTCGCCTGGCTTCCATGAGAAACTGAGATGAGGAGCGTGGGGAACGCACGGCCTCTGCCTAGCTGAAGGGCTAAACTTTGTTGAAATTTTGTCACCTGTGTTCATTTGACATTTCCACCCTGTAGACCCTGTTCTGAGCATGGTCCATGTATTTGCTTATTGGGCATTCAGAGTTTGAGGGCAGGTGGATGGAAAGCCCTCCCACTAACCTCACACCATCAAAGGATGCAGGTCCCTTAGCAGGGCCATCCGTAGCCAGGCCCCTATGAGTACACTGTCTGAATATGACTTCGTGGTTCCTGGCCTGTCACCTTTCCCAGAGTCACCTTTCCATATCAGCACCAGGTAGGCTTTGTCACAGTGTCAGGCTTCCTCCCATCCATAGCCCAAAGGTTGACTATAATTCACAAACAGGGACCTTGGAATGCAAGTATTTCTGTGGCTCTTCACGGTGTAAAAAGATAGAGTCTCCACAGAATGGCTTGGGTGAAGCCTGAGCTATGCACTCACTGAGTGAGGAAGTGAGGATGTGCGCTCGGCTGAGTCGGGGTAGGGGTAAGCAAGTGAAAGGGACGGAGGCAGTTCCTGCCTTCTTCTTGAAGAACTCCTTCTGAGAGAGGTCTCGACGTTAGTCAGCAAATTTCCAGTGGCTTCAGGGCTGATAATTTGGCTTTTCATGACTTTTAAGTTACCTTATGAGACACCTAGAGACCCATCCCATGGAGAAATTTGAAGATTTGAAGGCATGGCTTTCATGAGTGCCTAAGGGGAGCTCAGAAATAGACTGCTTGTTTCACAGGCTCTGGGTTCTGGCCTCAGTATCTCTTCCTCTCAAAAACAAACAAACAACAACAAAAACCACACACACACACACACACACACACACACACACACACACACTCTGTCTCTCTCTTGCAAAAATGAAGAAAAAGAATATGAAGTCAAAGTATTGTGTGTGTGAAGTGCAGGCTGCTTAAGGGTCTGTCCTGCCCCAGTAGGTTAACAAGAGCACTTCCCTAAACTTCCAGTCTAGAAATGACTTTAAAACTCATATCAGGGGCTAGAGAGATAGCTCAGCAGTTAAGAGCACTGGCTGTTTTTTGCAGAGGACTGGAGTTGGGATCCCAGCACCCACAGTAGGTGGCTCAAAGCTATAGCTCCAGGAAATCTGCCATACACACACAGGCACCTACAATACACGCACAGGGCACCTGCAATACACACACACCCAAAAATAAATGTATTTTGAAACAAGACAAAACAAAGCTCCAATTCCAGGATATCCAGTGCTTCTTCTGAAGGAGTTCAACAGGTAGAATACACACACACACACTCAGACTCACATACACATACTCGGGCTCATATGCACACAGTCAGGATCACACATAATATGCTCAGGCTCATAAACACACACTCAGGCTCACAAACACACACACTCAGGCTCACAAACACACACACTCAGGCTCACGCTTAAAAACATAAAAATAATTAAAAACAAAACAAATTTTTTCATACATGAACTTTTGGGTCTTAAAAGTTACCCCCTGAGAAGCATGTGCATGGTATTCCCAGGCTCAATTGCCTGAGTGTAGCTAATAATCTTAGCTACCTGCCTATGACGTAGAAATTTCCTAAAGGTTCTGTTTTGATGAAAGACGAGATGTGATTTTCATACTGTTTGTTGAGATGATGGTCCGCTTAAGTCTTGCCAATCTGTGGGTCCTCTAGGCTGTTTGAGGTAGACATGGTCGGGTTTCAGTCTTCTGTGTACACAAGAATCATGAACTCTTCCTTCAAGCCACTGCAAGGGCTTTGCTGTCCTAGGCTTCAGGTGTCTCAGTCATGGAGTATGGTCCTGGAGTGATAGTTAGCAGAAGTGTGTTTTGAGAGGCGTGGCCTCTGCCCTGAAAGCACCTGTATTTTCCAGTGTCTCATCATTGGAGCTGGCCCCTGTGGTCTCCGAACAGCCATCGACTTGTCCTTATTGGGAGCCAAAGTGGTCGTTATCGAGAAGAGAGACGCCTTCTCCCGAAACAATGTCTTGCATCTCTGGCCCTTCACCATACATGATCTTCGAGGTCTGGGTGCCAAGAAATTCTACGGCAAGTTCTGTGCCGGAGCCATCGATCACATCAGTGAGTACCACCAACTCCTCTTGTTTCCATGTTCAGTAGACAGGCAGGTAGGTTACCTGAGGAATTCCTCCTCAGCCAGGATGTACCCTTGCATTGGAATAAGGTGGACAGTTTGGATTCCAGCCCTCTGGTGGTTCGTAGTTTAGCGGAAGGGAGTCCACAGGCTTGGGTTCTGTGTTGTGATCATGCATACCCTCTATTAATGCAGGAAAACAGCACCCTGGGGACACAGGCGTGGGAAACCACACACAGAGAAGGAAGAGTCATAGCTTAGTCACAAATGCCAAGTCTGCCCCTGAGAGTCTGTGTTATGGTAAAGTCATTCTTAGGACAGCCATGTTTTCACAAAGTGGGGTCTCTGAAAGCGGTCCAGAGTGGTGTGCGCATCATCAAGCTGCAGCGCAGTCTGTTTCCTGCTGATGATTCGTCTAGGGGGATGTTAGTAAGGAGCACTTGTTCTGAGCGCCTCCCTATGTGACCTGGAAACACATTCAGCCCTTAGACCGTCGCCGTTTGAAGTGGTTATACCAATTTATCCAACACTGGCTGGCCGCTGCCACATGCCGCTGGCAAGACCAAGTGCTCGGCCCATCTGCCAGGCTGTAATTTGTTAAGCGTCTTGGAACCCACAGTTGTCTGCAAAAATAAAGTGTGCTAGTGTGGGTCCCAGGGAGTCTTTGGAAGTGTGACTCAGAAGGGCGAGGGTGTGGTCAGTTGAGAGTGACCAGGATGACTTGGGGGATTTGCACGTGCTCGGAGCTCATTAGTCAAAGGCTGCAGGTAAATTTGGCCTTAAGAGAGGTCCTAGGATCGGTGACACCTAGATTTGTGGTCCTTATCTGTGGCCAGATTCATTTAGGGCTGAGGTATCTTAGACCAGGGATAGAATTTCTGTCTCACTATAACCTGTCATTGAGGTCAGATCTAGTAGGGGTTCATTAGCCATCAAATACATTTATGACTGTGATCATGAGCAGGATTCAGTCCTTTTGGACCTCAGTTTCCACAACCGTAAGTCTCCAGTGGTGGGAAACAGTAAGAGATAGAATGGGGTTGTAGTTTCTTTTGTGAATCGGAGGTCAGCAGGGGGTTAGAGTAGAAGGCCTGTGGTATCTTCCCTGTGCGCTGTGCGCTGGCCTCCCCTGTGCTTGAGTAAGCAGACACCTCTGAAGACTCTGGATGCTGCTGGAAGCAGTAGCTCTCGCTGGACCCCTCTGCCATTGTGTTAGATTATTTGGAATAAATGGGGTGGCCTAATATATCCAGAACGTTCCTTCCACTGTTTGATGTTATCTTTACAACATGAAGGAAGAGAACTTGTGAGACTTGTCTGCTGCGACAGCCCTTGGGAACGTACGCAGACATGGATGGAGGGGAAGCACCAGGAGGCCCTCCCCCTCCCGTCCCCTTGCCATCAAGGTCTTGTGTTCTTCTAGGTATCCGTCAGCTCCAGCTAATCCTCCTGAAAGTCGCCTTGATCTTAGGCATTGAAATCCATGTCAATGTGGAATTCCAAGGACTCGTTCAGCCTCCTGAGGACCAAGAGAATGAACGTGAGTCGGACAGAGGAAGGCATGAGGGCACTGAGTGGGTGAGAACAGATGAGATCATGGGAGGAGCCAGAAGGGCTTGCAGGTGGTTTTCAGCCCTGACTAAAGGGGCTTTGTTCATGCAGCCTGGGCTTTTGAGAACTTTTGGCTTACCCAAGAGGCCTTTGGCACGGTCTTAGGCGTGGCAGGCTTTTGTATTATAGAAAATGAAAAGGTAGAAAAAGTGTCTGTGTGAGCTCTTGTCAAAACTCTGTGTGAGGCTGGCCCTTATTCTGTTACATGTCGTACTTTGGATTGGAACGCCGTGTGATCTGTGTGTCTGGGTGTGGCTTCATCTGGGTTGTGGCCTTCATTTTGCTTTTGGTCCACAGGGATAGGATGGCGAGCATTGGTGCACCCCAAAACTCATCCTGTATCAGAATATGAATTTGAAGTGATCATCGGTGGGGATGGGCGTAGGAACACCCTGGAAGGTACTGGCTTTGGACTGTTCTCCCTTGCCTGGGCTGTCACACGTTGGAGGCTGTCCTGTCCCCAGAGGCCACAGCCCTAAGATTTGCATGTGTGCTGCCCAGTCAGTGCCTGCTTGGGGGTTTCCCACGGAGCACTAGGAGACAAGCTGCCCTTAGAGGTGTTGGCACCATAGCTTTTAGTCTATGCATGACTGTGTCACACACACAGCACCCTCCATTTTAAGGGTGACCATTAGTACTGAGCAGTAATCTGGTCAGACAGATTTTTGTCCATGATGTGGGAGGGGATTCTTTCTTGAGTTGTTCCATCCCTGTTAGGTGAGTTCCCCCCACCCCCCCATAGTCTCTGATTTGAAGTCCTTATCCCTGCTCTCTTTCCCTCTAGGATTTCGTCGGAAAGAATTCCGTGGCAAGCTAGCCATTGCCATCACGGCAAATTTTATTAACCGAAACACAACCGCAGAGGCCAAAGTAGAGGAGATCAGCGGTGTTGCTTTTATATTCAACCAAAAATTTTTCCAGGAGCTGAGAGAAGCCACAGGTTGGTGTCAGCGCCTCCAGAGGGCAGCGGTTGTTGGCTTGGGTAGCCATGGATGTCCCTGTTGTGTCCTCTGTCCTCTGTTCGTTTGTCACTCTCCTCCTTTGTCCTTACCCTGTTTCCACGCTGCTGCCTTCCTGTGCCGTCCTCAGTGACCAGGCCGCCCTGGGGTTTGTTGTTGTTGGTTTTGCCTTCTGCCAACTCATCCCCAGCTCCTTCCCCCGCCCTATGAGCCAGCCTCTCTGCCGGAAGAGCAGGCTGCCCACTGGCAGCTCTGGGTTGTTGACACCGTGACCTTTGCTATCGCTGTTAGCCTTCTCTAAAGTCATCTGAGCTCACCTGCAGCCATTGGGATTGTGAGTGGCTGTTTTCTGATGGAGTGAGTTAGATATTCTGCTGCCATGAACCAAAAAAAGTTTCTTCATTCTGTTTTCCAGAGCTTGGTTTCTTTCCATTCCATGTATCTTGCAGGTTAGCTGAATAAAAAATTCAATATTTCTCTCTCTGCATTTAGATATCTTTAGATATCTATCCTGTTAAAAATCTAGGAGATGCCTCCAGCTTCCTTGGTGATTATCAAAGAGGCTTTACCTAGTACATAACTCATCCCCTCTTGTAGATTAGCCTCTCCTCGGCTTTACTTTTCCCACTGTCACGTTTTGGTCATTGTTTTTAGGATAACCTAGGCTACTAAGTGAGTTATAGGGCAGCACAGAAGAAAACAGACCTCACGATTGCCATGTGCTGTGCAGGAAGTGAGGATTTGCACCCAGGCAGCTCTCCATGCTCTCTGTGAGCCCCAAGTCCAGACTTGCAGGTTCCCTGCAATTCCGGACTCCATGAAATCTCACACGTGTCCTCTTGTTGCAGGCATTGATTTGGAGAACATCGTCTACTACAAAGATGACACACACTACTTCGTTATGACGGCCAAAAAGCAGAGCTTGCTGGACAAAGGGGTGATATTGCATGTGAGCCACGGGTTCCCTGCAGGCGACATCTTTGTTGAGCTGCCTGATGTGATCACTAAGAATTTTAGTCTGTTGGGTTTTTCCTGTAAGGGAATAGAAGTAGCATAAAACACATCTGGGAACCCCTGCTATTGATTAGTTGAACTTAAAAATATGTTTAGTGTGTAAAATTGAAACTATAAACAGAAGGAGGAGGGTAGGGTGGGCCTGTGCGGCCATGCTTAGGGTTAGCTTTAACAGTTACTGACCTGGTCAGATTGGTTCAATAAACCCAGCCCCTTCCTCCCTCACCTCTCCTGCTCCTTGACCGTTTTAGACCCACTGTCAGATATCACGTCCTGCATAATTAGCCAGTTTAACTTTAGATGACCTGATTTATAGCAGTAGTGAATTCCACACATGACAATTGTTGATCTATATACCCTCCCACACCTACTAATTCCCAACCACGGTAATAGGGACTGAACCGAGGGCCTTGTGCATGCTAGGCAAGATCTCTGCCACTGAGCTGCATCCCTTGACTTTCTTCCAGGGAACTATTTCCTTTGAGAGGTGTTCTTGCTAAGTGGCTCAGGCTGGTCTTGATAGTCCCATGCAAGCTTTGAAAGTCTATTCATCCTCCCTTAGCCTCTGGGTAGCTGAGATTAAATGCCTGCACCACCAGGACCCACGTTAGAAGGTCCTCTTTTCGGGGCAGGATGGCAAGTGTTGAACCAAGAAACAGCCCTTGGTGTTTACAGTAGCCTGACAGTGACCCAAGTTTTACCGCAAATACTGACCTGACCAGATCGGGGTATCTTTAGGGATCTTTCTAACTAACTGCAGAGGCCTGGTGTCTAACCTTAGCCAGGTCCAGCTCAGCCCTTTTTCTGGGTGACTAATTGTATGATATATACCCTGAGCTGACGGCCTGAAATCTAAATCCCGGGTAGGATGACTCTTTAAGGAGCGTGGCTGGTGTCTCACGTGGCCTCGCAGACCTGGATGCGAGAATTGCTGTCTCCGTGTGATGAATGGATAGAAGTCTCGCTTGCACTGACTTAACCCCATGCAGTTCCCACCAGTCTCAGCTGACTCTTAGGGAGCTCTTTGTGTCTGCAGGACGGTAACACACCAGGCCCCTTAGAATGAGTCACACTGTTGCTTTATCTACAGTAGACTGGGGAATGAGCTGATGAGCACGTGCTTGCTACATACACAAAGTCTCCTTTCCACCTCACGTCTGCGTCTCAGCATGGCAGCCCTGTGCTGCCTTGGGACCCGCAAGACAAAGCCCTTGCTTGGTACAGAGTTCCCTGCCAAACAAAAGGCATGTTTGCTGGATGCTGTGTAAAACTGGTCAGTCATTATCTGGGGCTCTTCTGTTGCTGTTGTATAGCAGTTGGGATGCCCGAGGACAGAGTCACGACTCAAACCAACCATCCATGCTGATCTGGGTCATCACTTAGCATTGAATAAGGACAGTCTGAAATGCTGAGGCCCAATTTACTTTGCCCCTATATTTTTGTCATGTAAGCGAGTTCAAGCTGCTAAATACTAAAGCCATTGTGGCCTCTTAACATTGAACAGACAGTACTTCCAGGACTGACATAAGTGTTCGTGTTTTGGCTTTTGAAAACCTATGTTGTAACTGAGTACCGTTAGGTGCACTTGGAACCCGCAGGCCCCACTTTAGGGGAGAAGACTTGACTCAATGCACAGGAACCTCCAAAACAGAGGAAGGGTCTCTCGGTTCTCTACATAGAAAGTCCTTTTTGCGCTGCCGTCCCTTTTGTTTGTTGATGGGTTTTTCTGGAGCCTTGCAGAGTCCTCGGTGTGGCTTAGAAACCTCTGGTTCATTTTCAGTGTTTCCTTCTCATCGTCCTGAACCACTTCTCACTCCACACCGTGCTTCTCTTTGCACTGAAGTTTTCAGGTTTCCTTTAGGTAATAACTCTGAACTTCTTGCTGCCAAAACCCATCAGACACCCAGAATAAAGTGATGATAGGAAAACCGTAAATTTTAAAATGCCCATTCGTTTTACAAGGTGCTGTTACGCGGCTATTTTACTTGATAACTGTGCAACTCTGAGGTGGATGAGCTTTGCCGCTAGTGAATGGGAGAGCCAGGTCTCTTAGGCAGCAAAACTGATTCACCCTTAACTAACAACCCCCCCCCCCCATCCCTGTTCTTTTTAACTAGTGTAAAAAGATTTGGTTTAGGAATGTTAAAACATCTTAGGGAGAAAAACGCCTTGAGACCAGGTCATGTCTGATATGCACTGTGGGGTTTTGGCTGGCCAGGCATCCCTTGCTTGGGCTGCTCCAACTTGACCTCTTTTGACCTCTTCCTGGACAGGACTACACAGACACAGAACTGTTACTTTCCCGGGAGAATGTGGACCAGGAGGCCCTGCTGAACTATGCCCGGGAGGCTGCAGACTTCTCTACCCAGCAGCAACTGCCTTCTCTGGATTTTGCCATCAATCACTACGGGCAGCCTGATGTGGCCATGTTTGACTTTACCTGTATGTACGCCTCTGAAAACGCTGCCTTGGTACGGGAACAAAATGGACACCAGTTACTAGTAGCTCTGGTTGGGGACAGCCTTCTGGAGGTGAGTACTGAAAGGGGCAGAGAACTAAGTGGTAGAGGCAGTGGTAAAGGGGAGATAGTGAGTGAGTCCGGGTGTTCAGGTCGTGGGTGCGCAGAGGCTCCCTTCCGAGAACAGCGATGGTGGACGCCGGGTGCACTGGTTTACCTTCCTCTATTAATAGTGCGTTACTTTAACTCTGTGTATTTCTCCTTTGCAGCCTTTCTGGCCAATGGGAACAGGAATAGCCCGGGGCTTTCTGGCTGCTATGGACTCTGCCTGGATGGTACGAAGCTGGTCTCTGGGCACCAGCCCCTTGGAAGTCCTGGCAGAGAGGTAATGGGAAGAAGCCATGGGTCCTCCTTCTGGACTGGGGAGTCGACCTGCTTGCTCCTCAGCCGTGTGCAAGTTCTTCCTCCCTCTTGTTCACTTGTTCTTTTTAAAGATGGTTTCTTGTCTAAGTAGAGAAAGGCAAGGCACGGTTGTGTAAAATCACAGAAACCTCGGTGATCTGCCCATGCTGCTCTTCTCATAACCCTGCTCAGACAGCGTCTGCTGTTGGCACGTGGTGTCTGCACCTTTGTGCACCACCGACTGGTCCTGTCACCTTTTTAATAATTACGTGAACAAACACACAGAAGCAGCATGTTGGCACCCATGCTCATAGGCCAGTGTAGCAATGGGAATGTGCTCGCAGTGGGAACGTGCTCATAGTGGGAACATGCTTGCAGTGGGAACGTGCTTGCAGAGGGACTGTGCTCGTGGTGGGTACGTGCTCTCAGTGGGAATGTGCTTGTAGTGGGAATGTGCTCGCAGTAGGAGTGTGCTAGCAGAGGGAACATGCTTGCAGTAGGAACATGCTTGCAATGGGAGCATGCACACAGTGGGAACATGCTCGCAGAGGGAACATGCTGTCAGCACTGTTGGAAGTGACTAGCTGAAGAGGAAACTCCAGCATGCTTGTAAACATTTCTTGGACCCCTGGATGTCGGATGTTTGGAAACAGATGATTGTGAATGAGGCAGGGACACTAGGATTTACTTGCTGTTTACCCTGACTAGGAGAAACAGAAGTGTGAGATTTCCTGGATGAAACTGATAATTGATATTATTCTCTGATAGTTGATATTATTACTTTTCTATTGTGACACAATATCATGACCAAGGCAGCTTATAAAAGAAGTTTATTTGGGGGCTTACAGTTTCAGAAGGCCATCGTGATGGCCATGGTGGGGAGCACGACACCAGTCAGGCAGGCATGGCGCTGGAGCAGTAGCTAAGAGCTCACATCTGATCCAGAGGCGTGAAGCCAAGACAGAGCTAAATGGGGATGGCACAGGTTTTTGAAACCTCTAAGCCCACTCCTAGTAACACCCCCTCCAACAAGGCCACACCTCCTACGCCATCGCAAACAGTTCTACCAACTGGGGACCAAGTATTCAGACAAATGAGTCTTTGGAGACCCTTCTCATTTAAACCACCACATTTCAGTCCCTAGTTCCCATAGTCTTGTGGCCATATTGTAATGCAAAATTCATTTAGTCCAACTTCAGAAATCCCCATAGCAACCACAGTCTCCGCACTTTAAAAGTCCACAGTCTCTTCTGAGATGAAGGCAGTCTCTTGAGTGTAAATCTCTATAAAATCAAAAAGCAAATTACATACTTCCAACATACAGTGGCACAGAATATACATTACTATTACCATTCAAAGCAGGTTGAACGGGGATATAATGAGGACAGAGTCCGTATCTAATGTCAAAGAGTTCTCTTGGGCTGGTTCCACTCCCTGTGTGCCACTCTCCCAAGGCTCTGGGGTCTCCAGCATAGTCCAGGCTTTTACAGCTTCACATGGCCCCTCAGGGCCTCCTAGCAGGCACTCCCCTGCTATAGCCAGGCCTCAACAGCTCTTCTTAACCTAAGAGGAAGATCCCACAACACCTTTACTCAAGCATCCTTCAAGACTCTAAACTTTAGAGCCTAACCCTAAACTTTGCAGCTGGTATTTCCAAGTGTGGCTGCCCACTTGGGATGGAGCCTGGCCCCTCCTTGCATTACATTTGCATAAACTTTGACTTGTTTCCTTTTAGGAGCAGAAGATTCCTTAGGCCTTTTCCTCTCCTTAGCTGCAGGGCTAGCTGGGTGGAACCTTGCCCTGAGGGTATCACTCCCTTTTTACCATTTCATACCAGGTATCTCTGTTAGCAGTTCTCGGTGCCAACATTAAATTTTCTTGTGCTCCCTTTCTGCTCAAACTGTATGTCTTGTATTTCTTTTGCCCTATTGTTCTCTTTCATTGTAGACCTGCATAAGAATGGTTACTAAGCCGGGCACTCGGAAGGCAGAGGCAGGCAGATATCTGTATGTTCGAGGCCAACCTTGTCTAGTTCCAAGACAGGCACCAAAGCTACAGAGAAACCCTGTCTCAAAAAAAAAAAAAAAAAGAATGGTTACTAATAACCACGTGACAGAGTTAATAGTAGGCTATCTTGAAATTTGTTTTGCCAATAATATTAGTACAGAACTCTTCAATTTAGCCTCAGGCACATTCTTAGGATTACCTTTCTTTCTCTTTCATTTTCTTTCTTTCCAAAATATCACAAGAATGCTTTTTACGACTCTTAGCAGTTGGATGGGGCATTGATAAAGAACACAACTAGCTGCAAGAATTAATGTGAACTGTAGGGCACAAAGGAAGAAAACAAAAAAGAAAAAAGAAAGGCTTTTAGCCCAGTTGCTAAGATTGTTCCCCTCTGAAACCTCTTGAGGTGGGCTGCCATAATCCACATTGCTCTATGTGCGATTGTCCTCTAAGCTCCTGCTAGGATGGGGTTAAACTGTGCTTACAGTGCTCGGCTGCTTTCCTAGTCCAGAGACCCAAAGTCTTCCATGCTTCTCCCAAAATCAGCATAGTCAGGCCAGTCACAGCCATTCCCCACTCCTGGTCCTAACTTCTGTCTTAGTTAGGGTTACTGTGGTAACACTGTGACCAGTGCATCTCGGGGAGGACAGGGTTTATTTTGCTTACACTTCCTCATTACTGATCATCATCAAAGTCAGAAGAGGAACTTAAAGCAGGGCAGGAGCCTGGAGGCAGGAGCTGAGGCCTAGACCGCGGAGGGGTGCTGCTTCCTAGCTTACCCCTCTCCTTTGCCTGGCCTGCTTTCTTACAGAACCACCAGCCCAGATGGCACCACATCAATCACTAAGAAAATGCCCTACGGGCTTGCCTACAGCCTGATCTTATTAGAGGCGTTTGGTTAATTGAGATTCACTGCTCTTAGAAGACTCTAGCTTGTGTCGAGTTGAGCACCATCTGTCATTTTAGATCTTTGATGTAAGGCATGCATCTGGATGTAATGGCAAAGCTCATTTTTCCTTTGTTTTCGTGTTTTGAGATAAGAGTCTCCCTCTGTACCCCAGGCTGTTTTAGTACTCATTCAACAATCCCAGCTGACCTTGAACTCAAAGCATTCCCCTGCCTGAGTGTTAGAATTGTAGGTGTGAGCTACCACATCTACCACCTCACTACCACCGTGCTGGGGACCGGACTTCCAGCAGGTGACCTTTGAGGAAGTAACGGAATTATTGCTAACAGAGATGTTCTGGAAGTATCCATCCTTTAGATGAAGCCATATGATCCTTCAATTTCTTAAAAACCATAGTAAATATTAGCACACTACACAACAGCCTTCTAAATTAGCGGCATTTGCCACCTCCGACAGAATTGTCCCTGCGCTTCCTTTCCCCTGGTCCAGGTCCATGGAGTCACTGAGCACCACTGGCGCTGGGTCTGCAGGGAAGAGCTGAGATCGATTTAATTAGCCAAATTCATCAGGATGACTGCTAATCTGTGGGGTAATTTGGTCCTCGTCACCGCATGTGAGCACACTGTTGTATGTCATTGCAGGGAAAGCATTTATAGGTTGCTGCCTCAGACCACCCCTGAGAACGTGAGCAAAAACTTCAGCCAGTATAGCATCGACCCTGTCACTAGGTATCCCAATATTAATATCAACTTCCTCCGGCCAAGCCAGGTAAGAGCCTTCTTGTCAGTTATGTACTCCTCGACCCGTGTTCTAGATGCTCATAACTCTGGTCAGTAGACCAGACAGGAATGTGTATAACTGTGTATGTTATTATACAGCATACATTCCAACAGGAATGTGTATGTTATTATGCAGTATATATTCCTACAGGAATGTGTGTAGCTGTGTTTGTTATTATACAGTATATATTCCAACAGGAATGTGTATAACTGTGTATCTTATTTATACAGTATAAATTCCAACAGGAATGTGTATAACTGTGTATCTTATTTATACAGTATATATTCCAACAGGAATGTGTACAACTATGTATGTTATTATGCAGTATATATTCCAACAGGAATGTGTGTAGCTATATATGTTATTATACAGCACACACTTTAAGTAATCCAAGTTGACATCTCTGTGCTGTTGAAAGTAGATATTATTTCCCATTACCACATTCAGCAGCTGGGCCACAGAGAGTCATCCTTCCATCTTTTTCTTTATTGTTCGATCAGTTGTTTTGAGTTTGGGGTGGGAGTGGGGAGACTTGAATGTGCTGTAAGCCAAGCACACCTGGAGTTACTACATAGCCCAGGCTGGCTTTGAACTCATGATGATCCTCCTGGTCAGGTTCCTGGGTGCTGGAGCTATGGTCGGGTGCAAGTCACCATGTCTGGCTAAGTAGAGTCATTTTAATGACTTGTAGAAAGATCAGAAGTGACAAAAACGAAAGACCTAGCACTTCACCCTACACCTTCTAATCCAGACCACACAGAGCAGGGCAAAGTCCCCGACTGGTTCAGTGGTCGGGAAGGATGACGTCACTGCTGGCGTCACCACCCATCAGCCAAGACTCAGCTAGGCTGTTTGGCTTCCTCAGAGCCTCAGCTCTGCACCTGCTGGGTGTAGTTGGTAACCTGCCTACACACAGCGTCATCGTCGGGCAGACACAACTGTTCTCACGAAAGGGCTTTGAAAGGTTAAGGTGCTGTCTGCGAGCAGAAGCATTGTCGATAGTGTTAGCCTAGATTCTGTCCTGACTCCTTTAGAATCTGCACAGCCACCTTTCCTATGACATCCACCAGAGCATAGCAGTCCCAGGGAGTAAGACGCATCAGGAAGCAGCCTCCTTCCCACGTGTGTCTGCATTCTAGGACTCTCTTCTTTACCTTCTGCTGATGTCTCCAGGCTTCTCTGTGTGTCTGAGCATTGTTTATAAATATGTTGAAGGTGGGCAGCGTCTGGTCAGAGGAACTGTTAAAGCCAGCCGCTTACTTTTTCAGCACAGCTGCTTATGTTTAAGTTTTGTGTGTCAAAACCCCAGTCCACTAAAGCGCTAAGGTCATCATGTAGATTCTATCTAAGCTTTGCCATGGGCATATAGCTCTGCGTAGCCACACAAGACCCTGACCCCGACTCCCAACACTGCCAGAAAGTAAAGATAAATACATAGACTTTACCAGCTTGCTTCTTTTCAGTGGGGATTTGCTGTTTGGGGTTTGATGTTCCTTTTTGACCTTTCAACTTTCTGCCAGGTGCGCCATTTGTATGATAGCGGAGAAACAAAAGATATCCATCTGGAAATGGAGAACCTGGTGAATTCCCGAACCACTCCCAAGCTGACTCGCAATGGTGAGCTCCGACAATGGTCTAACCTGTTTCAAGAAGTCTGCAGTCATCCGTCAAGCCCTTGCCTGACCACAGTACTAGCAGAGGCCCTGGGCTGTTGCCAGTGGTTTTACCCTCTGGGGATATTAGGTTGTTGCCAGGGTGTATTTTTATGTCATGACTGGGTTAGGTTTGCCAGTGGCTGCAGTGGATAGAACTCGGGGCCGTTGCTTACACTTTCTGGAACACACAGAACGATCCTCTCACACACACAGGAAAGTATTGTGGTCTAAGGTAGTGTAAGAGTGTAGAGGTAAAGCCCAGCAGTGGTGGCGCATGCCTTCAATCCCAGCACTCAGGAGGCAGAGGCAGGCGGATCTCTGTGAGTTCGAGGCCAGTCTGGTCTACAGAGCGAGTTCAGGACCGGTTCCAAAATCTACAGAGAAACCCTGTCTCAAAAAAAAAAAAAAAAAAAAAAAAAAAAAAAAAAAAAAAAAAAAAAGTATAGAGGTAAATTGCTTCATGAACCTTTCCTAGGGAGACATAAGCAAAGGTTTGTTTGTCCCAGATAGGGAACCAACAGTATGTTATGGGAGCTCCTTCCGCTTCTTCAGCCAGTAGCCGCTGAGATACCAGCCCATTGGGGCGTATCCAAAGTAATGAGTCCTCGAGTGTAGCTCTGTGACCCAGTGAGTTACTAAGCGTACCTGCAGGAACATAGGTGACCCCCAAATATGTCCACATCGCTGAAGTCTCATACAGCTGATGACTTCACAGCTGTGTGCCTGGAGTCGTCCCTTCAGTTAGGCCTCTGCTTCTCTCTGCTCCAGCACCTCCTGAGCCTGTGTGCAGCTGGGGCACCATTGTGTGAAGTGGGGAGGGAGGTGTTTCCGTCCTGTGCAGAGAAAGTCAGCAGCCCTGACTTTAGCCCTTAAGGGTTGATGACGACAGTGATGGCTGTGACACGTGGAGGACGGTGTCCCACGACAGCCAGTTACAGATCCTGGAGAGGGTGAGAAAGAATGCCCAAGTGCACACACGTTCCTGGGTACTCTCACATACACTCAAGTTCTGGGAGAGAACACGTGGTGACCTTTCATCCGGGCCCTGAGACGGCACCATCACAGCAGAACCTGGACGTCGGGGCCAGACACAAGCAGCTCTCAGTCTAAGCTGTGCCATCTTCAAAGGGTGTGACCTTGAGCAGATCCGCCAGAACCTCAGACCCTCACTTTCTTTGATCTGGGAGGAACAGCACAGCCCTCGGGTTGCTGTCATGAGGTCTCTGGCATGGCACTTGCCAGTGCTCGGCCTGCTGTGCCTGGAAACAGCAATAGTTTTGTCATTGTCACTAATATTAAAACTCTGAAGGCACCACAGTGGGTGGCCAGAGACAGCTGATTGTCCTGAGAGGCACTAGGCAGATGGGTGTGGTTTTGCTGCATAAGTCCAAACAAGAGGTGGGAGGTGCACAGGTTTGAGTTCCATCTTGGATAGTTTCATAACATGGTCGTGAGGTGTCAGGGTAGATGTGAAAACTAACAGGCAGGTTATAACATCCTCTTCTTCTCCCCTGGGGTGTCAACCCCTTGAGAGCAGAGAATGTATCTTTCTTGCCATTTCCGTGTTCACCTGGGCTGCCCCGTATATGTGGGGTGGGTGGATGTGCAGACACGAGAAACACCTGAGTGGGTCACTGTCAAGGCCAAGAGACGGCACCAGAAACGCTGCTCCATTTGTTGCTCCGTTCCTTGTCTCACACCATGCTGTCATTGTGAGACTCAGCGAGACTCTTATCAGAGACGTTTTTAACTCATCTGTTCACGAATCACGAAGTGACTTAGTGCAGAGCTAAATCGGGAACCGACTGCTCAAGCGCAGACCAGTGCTCACGGGCTCTTCCGTGTTTGCAGACCTCCTCGTGAGGAAGACATGCCAGTGAGTCAGGAAACTTCTGTGTGTCTCTTAGCCTTGTCGTCTCCACATGTGATCGTTGGCACACATGTTAGCAACGTGGTCGCTCCACTGGGTCTAGAGAACTGCTCTGGTCTGGCCTATGTGGCCTTGTCACCCTACAGAGTCTCTTCACTTGGCACTCAGTCAGGACCTTAGGAATTGAGACAAAGGCTTTGTTTGCTTTTGGTTTAAGGTATCATGGAGGAAACCTTTTCTGATCTAATCTCCCAGGTGTTGCTGTGGAGGAAAAGGCTTCCTCAGCCTGTTGCCAGGCAACTCTCCAGGGACATCTTGACTCTGGTGCCAGTGAGGTATCAGCTCAGTAGGTGGCACTTTGCCATCTGCTTGTCTCCCCGAGTGCTGCTGGAACATGACTTCCGTGTGGCAGGCCCTTGTCACTCTGCTCAGATCTATCTGTCTGGGCCATTGACCCTGGAATCGGATAGGTCGGTGCCTAAAATGGTGCTACCATGGCACCAGTGACACAAACTCATGCTGAGACTCTCTTCCAAAAATAGCACTGACTTTTTTCAGTAATTTTTCATACTGGATCTGTGTACTGCAGAGCGTATGCTACGTCAGTGTTACTCGGGGAGCATACTTCAGTAATTATTTTTACTGTTTTAGAGTCTGTAGCTCGTTCAAGCAAACTGCTGGGCTGGTGTCAAAGGCAGACCGACGGCTATGCAGGGGTGAATGTGACAGACCTCACCACGTCTTGGAAAAGCGGACTGGCTCTGTGTGCAATCATCCACAGATACCGCCCTGACCTGATGTAAGTCTTGACCAATTTCGTGTTTCATTTTGTATGCACCAAGGGTCCCAGAGCCCTCTATGCAAAGTTTATGCTTCTTTCTAGTATGGCTGCACTATAAAACGCTCTCTAGAAGGCCAGGATTTTGACTTATTTAGACTTCTTTTAAACTCAACCCCACCCCCCAAAAGTTAGCTCTAAAAATCATAGCATTCAGAAGGTCAAAAACTAGTCTTAACACCCACTTGGGCCTGTTAACTTTGCACAAAGGAAAACTCTGTTTATTGGCCCCAAGTTGAACTCTTGGTTTTTGGCTAGCTCTCTCTCAGATGCGATTGATCACAAGGGAAACCTGGCTGGAACACTTGGCTAGCTCAACCCAACGGAAGACAATAGGTCCGTACCTGATTTATGATGGTCTTGGGCATTTTCTCTGCTAAAGATTATATTTTTTGCAAGTGCGCTCTTGAGCTTCTCTGAAGGGCATCTTACCCTCTGGTCGCCATTTTCACTCCTCTTGGGTCAGCCACTCGAACAAAGCACTCAGACCTCACCCCACCCCCAGGCGTTTGTTACTATGGAAGCCAAACAGATTCAGAGACAGCAGCAGGACCCGGTGGATTTTCTTGGCTGCCTTCTTTTTTATCATTAGGGCCACTCAAGGGCCCAGGTTTTCCCCCATTGTTCTAATGCTTGGTTAAGGAAATCCTAAGTGACACAGCCCCTATTTTGTGATGCTAGCAAGCTAATGAGGCAAGAGGTGGATTTGCAATGAGGACCCTGTCCGTGTAAGGCTCCAGGTTTGATCCCCGGTACCACAAAACAAAACAACTATAACCAGGCATGCCCGCCATCTCAGCCTCAGGCCGCTTACGCAGGAGAGTCGAGTTTCAGATTGAAACTGTCTGCTGAAAAGAATAAATAAATACGGAGAGATGGGAGTGTGGCTCTTGATCAACAGACATCAGCCAGGCTCTAGGTTCAACCAGGCAAAATTAAAAGAAGGGGTAAATTTCTAATGACCTCTGAGGCTGAGGTTGGCAAAAAAAAAAAGTAAATGAAAGTATCGGGGTGAGGAGGAAGAGCAGCCATGTATGTGGCATGACTGGGGTGGAGGAGTAGTCGGTTCAATCTCAAAGGGAAGGCAAGGAAAGGAAGGAAGTCGGGAGGCAGCTCAGATGGGATGGAGTGTGGGTCGAGGGGTCCTCTTAGAGCATGGGCAGGTGGCCTGAAGAAGGCCTGAGGGAGGTCAGAAAGCAGTGAGGGCGTGCGTGATTCAGCAGGTTTGGACTGTATTCAAGGTGGGTGCTCTTGGTTTAATAGGCTTAATCTAAGAGAAAAGTAATTTGTTTGAAATGGAAAAAAAATTCCATGAGGTCAGTAGGTTAATGCTAAGTAAGGGATGCCAGGATAGTGAAGTCAATGAGAAAAAAACCTCAGCTGTCCTTAAGAGCTTAAAACCTGGGGGGCGGGGGTGAGGGAACGGGGTGGGGGCGGGGGGGGGGGCGGGTGTTTATGAATCAAGGGAGCTGGGAAAGCTCAGGAGATTCAGGGGTGGAAAACTTTTTTTAAGAAGGTTTTAGAATTTCCCTTCAAGAGAAAGCTTGGTAAAATTTCCCTGAACTGTTGGGGCAAGCGACAGTCCCGGACATTGGGAACTCTGTCCAGACAGGGTTGTATCACTGTCGGACATTAGTTTCCTATGTGTCTGTGGACAGGCGTGCAGGAACACACGCTAAGATAGTTCCCATCCTGAGCTTACATTATAGTAAGAAGTCGGTGTTCCTGGCAGATGCAAACTGTCTCTCCCCCGCCACCCCTCCCCGTTCTTCTCGCTGGGTAGCTCTCCAGTAATTTCCCCAACGGTGTTGTGGGTTTTCTTAGCCAGAAAGGAAGAAAGGGGTCGAGAAAAGCCGACCTGCTCTCTGACCCAGGGATGCCGCCCAGTTCCCGGGACTGCAGGGACTGGGAAATGACGGTGGCGCAGGCACAGTGTTCTGGTTTGGGGGCAGTCAGCCCTACTTGATCTGCGTCTCCTTGTCATGCTTCTCAGAGACTTCGACTCTTTGGATGAGCAGAACGTGGAGAAGAATAACCAGTTGGCCTTCGACGTGGCCGAGAAGGAGCTGGGCATCTCTCCCATCATGACCGGCAAGGAGATGGCGGCAGTGGCGGAGCCCGACAAGCTCTCCATGGTGATGTACCTCACGCAGTTCTACGAGATGTTCAAGGACTCACTCTCTTCCAGCGGTGAGGACCCAAGGGCTCGGGCTGGGTTCCTGGCCTCCTGCTGCCTGGTCAGCAGGGCTGTCCCTAGAGCCTCACTTCATACGCTGTGTCTCAACCCTGTGTTCTTAACCTTACACTGTTTTCAAACCGGTTCTCATTTTACCACTAAGTGTGCAGAACCCATCTACCCAAAACATTCCTCCTTGACTCTGCGCATTCCCCCAGCCTCTCTCAGACCCACTCCTTCTGCACTTGGAAGTACTTTGTGATACTGCTTCTCTTGGTGGGACTCTGCCCAGATGACCCTGCGCCCTGGCAAAGAGTCTTTCCAATCCAAGTTCTTTTCTTGTTTCTTGCCTCTTTATTTACTTTTTCATTTTTTTTTTAGTTTGTGTGTGGGTGCATATGTGTGGGTGCATGCATGTGTGTATGTGTATGTGTGTGTGTGGTTGCTCCTGAGGTCTCATGAACATCAGACAAGCTCCTCACACTGGAGCTACGTGCCTTTGTTTCTCATCTTGTAGCCTGGGTATTTCTCCAGTCAGTGCCCTGCTGTGACGTCTCCTGGAGCTCTCTCACTGTCCCAGTGTCTCTAGTGCTGGGTTTTACGGTTCTCAGTAGCTCCTCCCTCTCCAGCTTCCCTTGCACCTTCTCCCTCCTAGAGATTCCCATATGTTGCCTTGGTCCTCAGCTTGCTACCTCAGCTAGCACTCAGTAGGGCTACAAAAAGTATTCCTGTCGCAACCTGTTCTGGTTTCCTTTTTTGCTGCTATGATGAAAACCCTGACCAAAAGCAGATGATGGAGGAGAGGGTTTTCTTGGCTCCCACTTCCGGGTCACAATCCATCACTGAGGGAAGATGGGGTGGGAACTCAAGCAGGAACCATCAAGGAACACTGTTTGCTGCCTTACCGTCTGGTTCACTTGCTCACAGGCCAGCTAGACAACCCAGAGCCACCTGTCTAGGGGTAGTGCCCCCTACCGTGGGCTTGGTCCTCCTGTATCTGTGAATAATCAAGACAGACCCCCCCCCCCAGGACAATTTGATCTAGGCAGTTATTCAATCAAGACTTTTCTCTCTGATGACACTGGGTTATGTCAAATTGACAAAGCTACCTGGGACACCACTTTGGGTCACAAAAGCGCAGTGCTTCAGCGTGTAGGCAGTGTCTGACCTGGGTTTTGTTCCAGTGTTCCCGCGTTTCACCCTTGGGCAGGTTGCTGAATTTCCTTACACGTCAGTCTCCCTGCGTGTAAACGGGGAGTGATGGGTATCTAATAGTGCTGTTTGGTGCCAAGAATGGCAAGTGAGCGCTGAATAAGTAAATGTTAGCGATTCATTATCGGTTCTAATTACTAGTCTCAAAATTGCTGTTGCTGTGAGTATAATATCAGAATTCCCACCAGCAAGATCGCTCAGTGGGTAAAGGTGCTTACCAGCAGACAGTAAGAACCCAATAAACAGAGTTCAGTCCCTGGAAACCACAGAGAGGCAGGAGGAGAAAACTGACCCCACAAAGCTGCTCTCTGACCCCAACACATGCTTGGGTCATATGTGCTCCTCCCGATGATGATGATGATAATAATTAGTATTCAGTTAGTGGTGCCCTCCTCCCCTGGTGTCTTCAAGCCCATATACCCTTATAGGCACCTGTGTCTTTGCCTAACTGGATATGTGTTTTTACAGCAGCAACCCTGAGCTGAGTAGCCCTGTTCATTGAGAACCCTCTTCAGACCCAGCTAAGAACATGGCCTCTGAAGCTCCCCCTCCCCCAAACAAAACCCGACAGCCCAGGTCTCATACCTCTGAACCCACCACCCCAACTTGAAGTTTTCTTTATCAGAATTTAACTTTGCCAATCTGCTGTGGTAGCCACAGGCAGAGTCCAGCCTTTACGGAGCAGAAGTGTGGGTTGCTGCAACCGAGTGTAAGGAATGTGGTTGGTTTTGTGTGTGTGAATGGGAAAGAGAGTGTCTAGACCTGAGCACGCATTTCCTTTCTGGTGTTTCCTACGGAGAGGAATGCTCCGTCTTAGTCGGTAACCCGTTACAGTCTGGGAGCTTCCTTCCTGCCAGGCCCCTGGTCAGGACTTTGAAGTGTCATCCTAGGTAAACATTGCTCACTCCTGTTCACAGACACCTTGGACCTGAATGCAGAGGAGAAAGCCGTCCTGATAGCCAGCACCAAATCCCCCATCTCCTTCCTGAGCAAGCTGGGCCAGACCATCTCTCGGAAGCGCTCTCCCAAGGTCTGTGCACACCTGAGTTACATTCACAGTGGCTGCAGAGCTGATGGCCAAGGAAGGTGACCAGGCTCACGCTGTCTGTGTCTTCTCTTGGTGCAGGATAAAAAGGAAAAAGATTCGGATGGGGCTGGGAAGAGGAGGAAAACGAGTCAGTCGGAGGAGGTAAGACTTACCACGGTTGACAGGACTGGTGCGCTGAATTGTCCTTCATGGTTTAAGGGTTTGGGGTTTGTTTCTGTGTGTACGTTTGTGTGCCCGTGTGAGTTTATATGCTGATGGAGGTGGGTCTTGTATCTTATCTGTTGCTTTCATTGGTTCACTAATAAAGAAAACTGCTTGGCCTGATAGGACAGAAAATTAGGTAGGGGGAGTAGACAGAACAAAATGCTGGGAGAAAGAAGTCGAGTCAGGCAGTCGCCATGATTCTCCCACTCCAGACAGATGCAGGTTAAGATCTTTCCTGGTAAGCTATACCTTGTGGTGTTACACAGATTATTAAAAATGGGTTAGATCAATATGTAAAAGCTAGCCAATAAGAGGCTGGAACTAATGGGCCAGGCAGTGTTTAAAAAAAAATACAGTTTCCGTGTAATTATTTCGGGTATAAAGCTAGCCGTGCGGAGCTGGGCGGGAATGCAGCCCACCGCAGCTCCTTCAACAATGTGCACTATCTATATGCATGTACCAGAGGGTACAGGATTCCCTGGAACTAGAGTTACAGGTGGTTGTGAGCTGTCTCCTATGGGTGCTGGGAATAGAACCTGGGTCCTCTGCAGGAGCAGTAAGCACTCTTAACCACAGTGCCATCTCTCTGGCCACCTGGTTTAATTATTAATTCCCCGATTGGTATTGCTAGGTCTTTACATAGTCGTCTCTCATGGGAGTTTCTGTCCTTTTTGCCTTCATCTCATTTTCCAGAAACTAGCAGGGAATATGCACACACATGTGCCCTGGCGCTCTCTCTGTGGAATCAGTGGCTTTGCTGAGATCTGGGGATGCCAGCACAAGTCCCTGTGCCCTGTGGCAGTGCCCTGCATCCTAGGATCTTGCTTATTCTGCACATCGCAACTTTGCAGAGAGCTAGTTAAGCCACCTAAAGCTGCTGGTCAGTTCCTGCCCACACACTGAGAGAAGAGCATCAGCGGCTCCCTGTGTCCCATCCTGATTCTTGGGTGCCTTCCGTTGGGCAGGAGGAGCCTCCCCGGAGCTACCGTGGAGAAAGACCCACCCTGGTGAGCACCCTGACAGACAGGCGGATGGATGCTGCCATTGGGAACCAGAACAAAGTAAAGTATATGGCAACCCAGCTGCTGGCCAAGTTCGAAGAGAATGCGCCCGCACAGTCCACTGGCGTGAGGAGACAGGTAAGCGCAGCTTCTCAGTGCGCCAGACGGCACAGCAGGGGCGATCTTGATGCAGTGAGATGAGCCATGCACAGGCCCCGGGACTCCTGGGCCAGGCTTGCTCTTCTGAAGCTCATGCATTCAAGGCTGCATTAGCTTCACCTCAGGTCTGAGGAATCCATGACCACTATCAGCAGAGAGGTCTGAAACGTATTTGTCTGGATGACTGTGAACACATGTATATGTTCGCATGCACACAGACTTGCATTACAAAGGAAGCGTGGTGTGGAGGCGGTGCTTGGGGAACTGAGGCAAGAAGATTGTGATTTCAAGGCTAGCTTGAGCTACATGATAGACCATCCCAAGGAAAGAAAAAGAAGAGTATGACTTCCTGAAGGAAGTCTGAAAAGTAGAATGGAGGTGATTAGGGCTCCTACAATTCTTTTAATTTTGCCACATTCTTTCTGGACTTTTTCTCAGGACAGTCTTGTTTTCGTGGTGGCGACCACTCTGAGGACACTTCCTTAGGTTCCGCATTTTGTGTTTGACCACGGCTTACTCCCTTGTCTTCTCAGCTCACATTCGGAGCGTGCGCACTGTGCTCTCGCTGACTCTAGCTGTGGTGGATGTTTTAGTTCTTCTCTTCTTTGATAACATAATGAAGGTATCCGTTCTTGCTTCTGTGAGCTAAGATTTTGTTCCAGGAACACGGGCCATTAGGTGGAGACGCCTGGAGACAGAAGTCACGTGTCAGAGTCTGACAGCCCCTGGCCTGGAGTGTCCGTATCACACCGTCTCTCCTTTGCTCTGCAGATGTTACTAAGCCTCTTTAAAGAGAAGGGGCTGGCGTTTTAAATGTCTCTCTGAAGTGTGTTACACCGCTCCCTAGTCCTGAAGGAGCATCAGGACAGGGAGATTCTCTTTCTTCCCCATACTCACGGGCTGTCACTCCTGTGGGTCCGGAAGCAGCAGTGCGTTTGCTTCTCATACCTGCCCTGGGTTGGTGTCGACACCCCACCCCTGTCTTTGCCTGTTGTGTCAATGGGCATGGTAGCATTCCCTGGACCGGTGGAGGCTGCTGTGCTCTGCCAGCCCCGTGTCAGGAAGCCACAGCGCCCCCCAGTGGAAGGTCGCCTCTGCAAGAAGCTTGCTTTCCTCATCTAAGAGGGAGTGTTCCAGATCACATAGTAGTCTAGATCCCCAGAGAATTCAGTTTGGGATAAGAGTAGCAAGAACCAAGGGTTGTTTCCCTCCCTTCATCCCCTCTTTTATCCCTCCACCAGGGTGTTTGCACTTGTGTTTGCTTTGGGGGAGGCGACTATTGTTCCTTTATTAATGTAACTTTCTAAGAGTTCACTTAGCCTGCTCGCCCCCTCACAGTTGGTGGATGGATGGATGGATGGATGGATGTCTGTCCTCCACAGGTACCTTTTTAATGTCTTATTGTTCTACCTTAATGTATTTTATTTTGTTTTGTCTCCATGTCCTGCCCCCACTCACACGTGGCCTGTGTGTGTCATAGCCGACACAAGAACGTGGGGTCAGACGGCCGTCCTGCTGCCTGCCTGGGCAGGGTCGCCCTGCTCCCATCCCCCAGTGGAAACAGGTAAAAGAATTGCTAGGGTCTAGAATGGGCTTTCCACCCCATCTCTGTTCCTGGCCTGCCTGAAAACCTAGCTCACCAAGGCAGGAAGCTCTGCCCCTGCGAGTAGTCTTTGGAAACTGTTTGACAGGCAGTGATGGTCTCATTCCACGATTGCATTTGCTCTCTTGGGTTTAAGAGCCTCTTAGGAAGGCTGTTGACTCCGTATTGAAGGTAGCTGGAGTGATTTGGGAAGTGGTCGAGGTATGGCCCTTGAACCTTTGGGGCTTTGCTGTTGTAATGTTGCTTCCAAACTGGCCCCTTGGTAGCCTGCTTCTGTGCCGCCTTTGTCATGCCCGAGAGCTGGGGTTTGTGCCGTTGTGTGAGGCAGGAACTACACCTGTGAAAGTAGTCATCAGCTGTGGACTTGTTTCTTTCAGACCTATGCAAAAATGTTTATGGGTTGGGTTTTTTGGTTTGAGTTCTTTTTTTCTCCTTGGAATTTTGTCCACATCTTTTGGTGGAAGGCTTAGAAGCTAAGGTTGTATAGCTCAATGGGAGAACATTTGCCCAGCTTCATGACGTCCTGGGCTCCTTAGTCCCACCCAAAACAATAAACGAAAAACCTCTTCTGGGGATTTCCACCAAAACCTTTGCAGGGCTCCTGGAAAGCTGCGTATTGTGACAGTCGGGAACAGGAGGGACCCACGCCTCGGGCAGGAGAGACTTGCCAGTGGGTGGGAAGTGTCTGCACTTTTCTTCCCAGTGTTGTGGTCGAGCATTTTATCACTGGGGGTAGGGTACCAGATGACCATCCTCGTAGTCAGGGTCCCTTCACTTGGATAGAGTGAGCTGATCCTGGGTTCTTTTAGCTTCTCTCACAGCCGGCCTTACCAGCTCTGGTGCTTGGAAGTGCTGGGGAATGGCGAGCTGGGCGTTGCTGAAATTGCATTTTGAAGAAAATATTCCTGTCTAACCTTGTAATAATACTACACATGGGAGTCAGGACCCAGGAAGGAAGAGAGAGAGAGAGAGAGAGAGAGAGAGAGAGAGAGAGAGAGAGAGAGAGAGAGAGAAAATATGCTGGAACAACGCCCAGACCCAAACTTCCCGCCTCAGTAGGAACTGCTTCATAGGGAGAAGCCTTCTAAAAACATCATCACAAATTTGTTCGATTTTTTTTTTTTTAAATCTTTTGCTTCAAGTCTTTATGGAAGGGAATCGGTGAACTCTCATCTAAAAGTTTGGAAGTGTCAAGACTTACTCTTCCCAGAAAAGGCCCAAGATTAAACAGAACAGCAGGAAGGTTGAGTGTCACCTATAAGCAGGGACATGGGTGCAGCCTGTGCTGGTGCAGCTTTGTGGGGCTTCTGGGAAGGAGGGGGCAGTGTGTGTGACTCAGAGAGCCTGCTAGGTCGTGGCCTCTGTCCTGATGAAGATCAGTCTGGCAGCTTGAAAGGTCACGAGGAACCTGGTTATATGCGGGCTGCTCAGGAAACCCGGTCGCTCACATTATGCCAAGACCCGTGCAGAGACTGTGTTTTTGTTCCTGCCTGTTCAGTTTGTCATCCGGTTCCTTTACTGCCGCCACCAGTGAAGTAAGATACTGGTAGGCTCTAGCGGGTGTCATGAAAGATGGTGTGAGCCTTGGCGACCTTGAACAATGGAATCACTTGGATCATTAGGTGCTCTAGGCTCCTTTGAGTGGGAAATTATAGACTTCAGTGTCTGTACCGGTGGCACTGGCACCCTGTACCTCACACGTGTTCCAGGGGAATGTCAGACACTCACATTCATCGTATTTCAGCTTCCACTCGTGGGTTTGGCCCTCTCGATGTCTCTCCCGAGAGCTAGAGATGCGTTCAGATGCTCCCAAGCCTGGGAACCCAGAGCCCGGGTGCCTGGGCTGCTGCTGGCTGGCCACTGGCCTCCGACAGACAGCACCACACGGTGACTCACTGTGTGTGTCTCTTCGAGTAGTTCCTACTGAGGCGGCAGGCATAGCAGGCGTGGCGGCCATGGCAGAGTTGGCATGAGGACCTGTTCCGACTTAGGTCATCGTGTGGAAGGAGGAAAATGGGTAACAGCCCTGCTTGCCAGCGATTTTCGTGCTGTTCTTTCCAGTGTAAACACTGCAGCCTGTCCTTTGCCCTCCCTTTTCCTTTGGATCTAGAAAGTGCATCCTGCAGACAAGTTGCCATGAGCTAGGTTTGGAAGCAGATTGTCATACGAGGTGGGAACACACAGTGGAGATGTTTTTCTGACCTCACAGCGGCCACAGTCCTCCCCACCCCCACTCTCTCCCCCGTATTAGCAGTCTGGGTAAAGGAAGCTGAGAATCTTCTAGAAGGTACCAGAGAGGCCCAGGGTAACATATGGCTGTTTCTCAAATACTGGACCGTGGACCAGTCCACAGAGAAGGGCATGTGTGGTACAGGCAGGACAAGGGATGGGCATTCAGTTAGGACTTATTCTGTAGAACCTGTTTTTGGGCATTTCTTTGTAGTTTTTAAACTCTTGCGTGTGAGTAAGGCTTTAGAAAGCAAGGCATTGATGCGATGTGGCCACAGATGGCTTGGGGGAGACATGCTTTGCTGTGGTGTGACCCGGTGTGCAGAAGTCGTGTGCTATCACAGGTGGGCCTGGCTACCTTTTCTTTCTTCTTATGCTCAGAGCCATTTCTGTGTCCCGAACTTCTCTGATAAAGCCGTTGGCCCTTGGCATTAGAGAGCATTGCACCAGCGTTCTCACCCCTATTTAGTGTAAGGTACCAGTCTACCGTGAAAGACAAAAGATTGTGATGAGCCACCCCCGAACAGAGTGAGGTGTTGTGGAGGGCAGATGGCCAAGGAAGGGGCCGCTTGGGATGCTTTGCAAATATACAAATCCTCCCTGGCTCTCTCAGGAGCAATTTCCACGAGGCCCCTGCTTCAACAGTGTTCTTTCTGTTTGTGTCTGTTGGTGTGAAAGCGACAGGAAAAGGAGCGTGCTCGGACCTGCCCCAAAAAAGTGATCACCCTCTCTCCTCCCCCTACTCCACCTTCCTGCCGGGCCCGCCGTGTTCAGCAGGTGATCCTCTGCATGCTCTGTGTCCTGTCTGTCCTTACACGATGCATGGAGGGAACCACCTCAGTAACCCCGCTTTCCAAGCGTAAGTTTTTAGATCACTCGTAGCAAAAGCAGCCTTCACTGTTTCAAGTGAGCAGTTCCTGTTGGGACCTCAGGATAGGGCCCTGTGCATTCAAATCCTGCATGTTCTGGGCCAGTCCCTATCGTGGGAGGTCAGTTGCAAACCAAAGCGTAGATCTCAGATCGAAGGCCTGTACGCCCCTGAGGTACACAGTTTTATAGGAGCTCTCTTAAAGTAGCCATGTTTCTTTTGCTGTCTTATGCACTATGGTTAAGATGTGCACAAGAAAGCTTCATGCTTCCCTGCATGGATTTGGTGCCTTGTGATGCTGACAGCTGTTCTCTGGCTCATACAGCCTCTCCTAACCAACCCAGCCACCCTTTCACACTCTAGGCCGGTCACTGAAGAGCTGCATTGAGAGCCGCCAGGCACATGTGGCTGTTGCACCACGCAGACATGCGTTTATTTATGGTGGACACACCTATAAAGTGCTCATACAGAATGACTTGCTGACCTTTGAGCTGAAACCCTAGAAAATAAAAAGCCACTTCCGAGGGCAGGGTTTGTGGAAGGATATTTTCATAATGAAGGTAACCGACCTAAAAGGCGGCCACCAATGAGGCATCTGGGTTTACAGGCCTTCCTCATGCCCCAGGGCCTAAGAACTGAGACACGGTGGCTGTTGTGACTGCCCAGTGCTTCCTCTAAATGAAAGCTCATGGTTTGAGCTTTTGTTCTGCCCCACACAGTATTTCAGCCCGTTCTCACAGTAACTGTGGGGCAGGTGCACCATCACCTCCACTTACAGCCCGAGGAATGGGGCGGACAGGCCAAGGAGTTGTGCAAGACTACAGGTGAGCGGTGGCCAGAACGGAACGGGAGCCGTGAGAAGTCCGGAGGCAGGCTCCAGGCTCACGCTGCCTGTGGCAGCATGTCGGGGGCACCAGATGAGGATGAACATCGCAAGTTATCCTTAGTGGACATCGTGGCCTTCCTGTCCCCACAATTGCCATCTTAGTTCTTCCCTGAGGCAGCCCTGTGCCTGTTCTAGGATTTTCCATGACCTCACACTGGTGCATTAACCGGGAGTCTTTCAGTCTCCCTGCCCCCTTCTCCCTGTAGTGAACTGTGCCTGCTCCCCACCCTGGAGTTTCCTCCGAGCTCTGTTTCCATCTCCCCACCTTCCTTTCCGAGGTCTTTCCGGGGAAAGCTTCCCTGCCAGCCTGCCTCCTTAGCTAAGCCTTCCACTGCATGCCTCCAACCTTACGCCACTGGTGAAAGACACATTTGTTCCACTTTTGTGCCAACCGTAGCTCTTTGTCTGTGTAGAGGCAGGTGGAAGGCCGTATAGAAAATTGTCCCAGATCATGGAATTTGATACGGGCGGGATTGTGGATAATTGGTTGGGGACATCTGGGGATGGGGAGGTAAATGATTTAACTCGGAATTCTTGCCCAAATCTCCGACTGTTACCTGGTAGGTCCAAGTAGAGTTGGGGTGCAGCTTAAGTTTCTACTTTGTTGCCAACAGATGTGCAGGGATCTTCATGCTGGCAGCCGTGGCAAGCAGAACCCCCACCATGAGAGGGTAAAAGCATGAGCCTGTGGCATGGGATGCTAAGAGCCAGCAGTTGGGCACGCTGGGTGGTGGGGCAGAGGGAAGGGAGCATGGAGAACAGTCCCTTCTCCCGGCTTTTTGCACACTTGTCACCCGGCCAACAGCCAGGACGTTTTGCTAACAGCGTTGACCCATTCAATAGCATTAACTGCAGAGTGTCCATCCGCAAAACATTCAGACCGGTTACTAATCCTGGTGCTTTCGTTGTTACAATGGGCCTTGGTGACTTTCCAGTTTCGTTCTCCTGTCCCATCCCACGACCTTATCACTCTACCCCGAAGCAGGTGCGAGTGGCCACAAGGCTTTGACAACTGGGGAGAACCGGGAGAGGGGAAGCGTTGGGGGCAGACAGACAGTGGATTTCATGGTCTTAGCTCTTGAGATAGAAATGGGCCATTGTGCCATTTTTTTTTTTTCAATGAACGTGATGATGAAGCCCTAGCCAGCCCACTTATTTCATGAAAACTTTTCATTGATCCTATCCTTAAAGATCTCCAGCGAGCCGGTGGGCTGCCTTGTTGCTGATTTCAGAGGCGCCCTCTCCCGGCCTTTGTTTTCTGAAAACTGCAATGATGCTCAAGCGGCAACTCAGGTCCCATCTTGGGTTCATTAGCAAACAGATGTTAGCACCATCTTCTCTGCCCTTGGACCAAACTTCCAGCAGGATGGGGTTAGGAGAGAAGGAATTGAGGTGGAGATGGCCGACCTCCCTGCCCTCCCGCCACTGGCCCTGCTTCACTGCTGCTCAGCAGGGAGCTGGTGCGGACTGGCATTTATAGCTCTTCTTCCCAGACCCTACCATAGTCCTGGCCATCCTAAGAAAGGGAACAGGGCAGTGCCCTGCTTCTGGAGAATGAGTGCATACTTAATGAGGTGCTGATGGTTTTCAGTAAGCAGCATCTGGAAAGGAAGCAGGAAGTATGCTGGGTAAAGGAAGTTTGGCAGGAGACCGTATGAGGTCCAGGACCGTGGTGCCCAGTGGCAGTCTGTCATGCCAGGAGCTGGGATCTATCGGTTCCTCAGTGTGGGGCTCAGGCTAGACACTGGGGGTACTGCTTGCTCCTTTCCCAGGGCTTCTCCCCACTCCGTAGCCCTGCTCGTGCACTGCCTTGCTCTCTCTCCACGGCTCCCCTTCTCTCAGTTCCCCACTCTGACTGTCCCACAGTCCAGCAGGGTGGTCCGTTATCTCTTCCCTTTCGACGACGGTTGCTCATCCCCAGAATTGTTGCTCTATACTCAGGGCCAGGAAGCTGGCTGGCCATCTGGAGCAGGGAGTAGGGAATTCCCAGATTCCTGCCACTCGATGTCACTGCCATGGCACTGAAATGTCCACCAAACTGGGGTGCAGTGGATCTCCTTGGAGCCTGGGCAGTACCTCTGTCCTTCCTATGTTCTAAGGATTTCTGTCCTGGGTGTGGTAGGAAGCGACAGAGCAATTGTCAAGGTGAGCAGTCACCTTTTCTCTGCTAGCTACATGGGCTCAACGTTGAGGAAGACCCTGGGCACTACTGCTGCACCAACTGAAGCCAGTCTAAGACGAGGGGCATTTAGATCTGGTCCCTGGATCACCACTTGTGGTTACTAACTCCTTAGCAAGCAGAAATGCCCTGCACACTGATCACAGAAGGAGCGTACCTGAGTTCTGGCCGTAGGGAGGCATGGAGAAAGCCTTGGGCACTGTCCACAGGACAAGGGCGTGCCCTAGCCAGGGATTGTGAGGTTCCCAGTCCTGCTCTTTACACTATCAGGAGAGAACTAGAATAGTGGTGAGATGTCTCTACCAAGGAACAATCCTGCGCAGGTCAGCAAGGGCTCTGGGAGACACTGATGTCACATGTCACAGAGGGTGAACCCAGTAGGAGCACCAAGCCGTGGTGCCTGAGGCTTTCGTAGGTGCTCTTAGCTTAGAGGCGGGGGTGGAGCAAGCGGGGAGCAGATGGGAGCCATAGATGAAGCTCACTTTCTTCTGGGAATTGGAAGGCCTGCCTTATTTACCGCGTACCTTCTGCAGCTAAAGAGCAAAGCCGTCTGGCTCGGGGTTCCTGTGTTTGAGGTATGACTTTTAACGTTGACTGTGCTCTCTTTCTCCACCTTGTATTTTATAGCCAGAGCCTGAGCCTTCACGTCGGTTTTTTGTTGACCAGTGGGAGCTCTCCCTTAGTCTCCGCTCCTCCACCCGCCCTGCCTCTCCCTCCTCTGACTCCCTCCGACAGGTAGCATGGCCTGGACTTAGCGAACCATGTTCTCCTGCAGCCTCTGCTCACTCCACTTTCACAGGTGTCACCCACCTGAGGGAGGCTAGGAGGCCTCCACCTTTGCCTGGCGTGCGTGTGTGTATGTACGTGTGCGTGCACGTGCGTGCGTGTGTTGCCTCAGATGCCTGTGTTCAAGAGGCTGCAGCTTTCTTTGAGTGTGTCACACATCACAGCCTGTCTGAGTGAACCCACTGTGTCCAGTATTGATAGCATTTTTCAACCTTTGGCTGAAGACTACATTTTTATAATCACATGCTGCAGAATTTGAACCATTCCATCACTAACCTTCCTAAGTAAGAGAGTGAGCACACAGCGCTCTTGGTGCTTCCTCGTATGTGGAATGAACTTTGCTTTCCCCCACTAGCTTTGATCCAGTTCCAAGGCATTTGTTAGGGATCAGAGGGTCTGTTGCTTTGGCCTGTGCCTTGTGTTCTTGGCCAGTACATGTGTGCGGAAGCACATGCATGTGTGTGGTGTGTAGGAGCAAGCCCAGCCGTTGCTACGCCTCGAATCCCTTCTGAGAGTGGGGAGAAGGAAATCGCCTCTTTCCATGCTGGAAACAAACAGAACCTGAGTCTTCAGCCCTCTGGGGGATGCTTGTCAGAGTCGCCACAAATGTGATCAGTGCCTCTGCATGTGCAGCCCCAGGCCATGGCTGCTGCGGTGATAGAGGTCCTGGGTGCACACAGTGGGGCTAGGACTGCAGCGTGCTGGCCCTTTGCTACCTGCTCTGCAGGATGAAGACAGTGACTTCCTGGTCCTTTGAGGGCAGCTTTCCTCCCTCATTTTTACTGTCCTCTACCCGGTGTCTGCCTCTCCCGGGCCTGTGCTTCTCCAGGTCCCTAGTCTCAGACTGTGGAATTGGCGGGCGAAGCCAGTCATAGGCAGCCTCTTTAGCAGAGTTGGAAAATGAAGTTGATTGCTCAGTTCCAGCCAGTCTCTGGCTTAGCCTAGTGAGAAGTGTTTTCTCAAGTGTGTCTGTTCCCAGACTTAGAGTTGGCCTCAGGGAACCTGGCCGTGCTGCTGCTTGGGGCCAGCAGCCCTTTTACATGTGGCTTTACAGGTTTATCCCTTGAAGTTATTTATGGGGGGGGGGTGGTTGATGCCATCTCTGGGATAGCTGCATCTGGATCGTAATTGGTGACAACCTCTCCCACGTGGCTGGGAGCATCCTGCTGTGAGAGGTGTAGCATCCGCTGTCTCCATCCAGAGTCCTGGCTTCCAGATCTCTAAAAGACTGCCCACAGGACAGAATCCAGGCTGGGCCACAGTGGCCTCTGTGAGCAGGGCGGCTCACTATACAGATATGGACATTTTTCCTGTTTGTTTTTTCAGCATTGCCAAAGGGGGCTGCATTAGTGTGATTTGTTGGGGGGGGGGGGAGAAGGTTAGACTGTCTCACTGTGTAGTCCAGGCTAGCCTTGAACTCACAGCAATCCTCCCGCCTTAGTCTCCCAAGTGCTAGAATTACAGATGTGTGTCACCATACTCTGCTGTGGATTTTATCTTCTTTTGCCGTTGTTCAGCTTTAAGAGCAATTCTTCCAGGATAAGAGGAGCAGCTTCCCTCAGGGTGTAGCGTGTGACTTGGTGTCCACCTGGTCTGGGAGAGCCCCAGCCTCCACATGGGGGTGAATGAGCACTATCTTTCTGCTCTTAGCCCCACCTCCCATTCCAGTGGGGGAGTGGCCAGGGGAGGTCACAGTGGTCAGCTCTACAGAGCAGACACTGTGGGTCACCAGCAATGCCAGAACTCTTCACACCTGTTTCCCCCATGGGACATCAACCTCTGCAGGAATCTGCCTGGTTTCCTTGTCAGCCAGAGCCCTTTGGGCCCCCTCCAGGCTCTTGACACTGTAGCCACCTCTCTGGAGTTGACCCCTCAAACTCTGTGAGTTCGGGTGCAGGCCTCTCTTCCTCTGCCGTGTTTGCTTCTGTTTTGCCTTCTACCTCCATGTCCCCAGAACTGGACTCTCGGGAAAACGTGAAGGACCGAGTTCTTCCCCTGGAACCTTGTCTCCACTGCTGCTGCTCATGCGCGTGCTGACCACCGTGTGGACACTGGCACAGTGTTTTGCTCACTGCCCAGTTTCTGCTTGTGGACACTGTGTTGGCATGGTTTGCTGTGGCACCGTGTATTCCTTTTACACCTCTCAAAAAAATGTTGTTCCTGGCTCCTTAATTTAATTTTTTTTTCCTTCTCATTTCCCCTCGTTTGGTCATTCTGTAATCTTCAACCAATAGAAGTACATAAAGATGTACACAGGCGGAGTGAGCTCATTGGCTGAGCAGATAGCCAATCAGCTTCAAAGGAAAGAGCAACCCAAAAGCCTTCTAGACAAGAAGGAACTGGTAAGAGATATTCCAGGGCCACTGACTCTAGCCACGGCACAGTGATGAGCAGCCCTCGCCTGCTCTGAGGCCGTGCTGATTTCTGTAGCCTCGTGGATGACTCGGGGTAGCTTTCTTGAGGTGATCTTGATTTTGATGACTGAATTTCTAGAACTGTGGTAAATATTTGGAATGTTCTGTGGAAAAGCACTTTTTTCTTTAAAGATGGTCCCTCCGCTATTCAGGGGATGCACACACGTGTGCACACTCATGAACACTGAGTATATGTATAATCATTCTATCTCCCAAGCAGAACTCTGGCAGAATAGTTGGTTTGATTGTTAAGAAATTCTGAAACCTCGGACTCCATCACAAGCATCTCCTGGTTGTTGATCACCACGGGTTTAGACCCCGGCTTATGGAGTAGAGCTGCTACAGAAGCTGCTCTCTGGGAAAGTCGCAATAGACCACTTGTCATCATTTCCTGTCCGCAGACGCGGTCTGCGTCCGTGCGGCCCGAGTCGTCATCACCCACAGAAGGCTCGTGTGGCCCCGGGAAGGGCCACAAACGCTGATGTCTTCTTCCTCTGTCCACCCCACAGGGCTCCATAAAGAAGGAGTTCCCGCAGAACCTGGGGGGCAGCGACACATGCTATTTCTGCCAGAAGCGGGTCTACGTGATGGAGAGGCTGAGCGCCGAGGGCAAGTTCTTCCACCGCAGCTGCTTCAAATGCGAGTACTGCGCCACCACGCTGCGCCTCTCTGCGTACGCCTATGACATCGAGGACGGTGAGTCTTCCTGCACGCGGAGAATGATGCCACTTTGTCCTTCTGAGCCAGAGACCTTGGGCCCTCGCTGCAGTCCTCGTTATTTTCTCTGTATTCACCGTTCTCAGCCGTCTCTTTCCTTTTTTTTTTTTTTTTTCTAATTCTCAGACTGGGGGTAGGGGTTTACAAAACCGGGTTTCTCTGTGTAGCTCTGGCTGTCCTGGAGCTTGTTCTGCAGACCAGGCTGGCCTCCAACTCAGAGATCCTCCTGCCTCTGCCTCCTGAGCACTGGGATCAAAGGTGTGAGCCACCACAAGCCAGCAGAGTAATTCTGAGACTCTTTAAAGATATTTTTGCAGTCCCCAGACTGTTAGAGCTCAGCCAAGGAGGTGCTGATGAGAGCGGTACGTACATGTCGTTCCCCCATTTCACACGCTCACCTCCTTACCTCACACGAGAGAGACTGTGGAGGAGAAACGGGGCCTGAAGGGTTCCTAAGATTGACGACAGCAGCCAAAATGGATCCCAGGCTTCTGTTGTACAGAGCAAGATGGAAATGCCCAAGCTTTGTCACCTCCCTCTGGCATCAGCGTCTCCTGGCCTGGGGCCCAGGCCTGCTGGTTAACTGGAAAGACCTTAACTGTAAGGCAGAGAAGTGTGCCAACAAATAACAGGCAGCTCGGCATCTGAAGATTCTTAAGGAAATGGGAATAGTGCCAAAGGCATTTATGACCCCTGCAGCCGTCCCTACAGGATGCTGAGGGACTCGTGGGTCATAGTTTCATTTAAGGCCAATAAACCTAGGTGAATAGAAGAGGAAACTCCATCCTTACAGGAATGACACTAAACCCATGTCTCAATAGGTTCTGTATTGACTGTAAAGAGACCAGAGAGAACCCATACTAAGTCATCTTCATCATACAGACCCTCCTAATAGCGAAACTCAGCCACAGCTCTGTCACAGAGCAAAGGCAGGAGCTAAGTGGCGAACTCAATGCACCTTCCTGCACTAACAAAGACACTGCTCAGTGAAGAGTCAGTTAGATGAGGAAGCTAATCTCCTAGTATAGAGCCTTCTTCTCTTGGGACAGACCTTCGACTCCAAGGAGAGGTGTTGGCAGGAAGGGCCCCCACCTCTTAGAGCTGCCCTTGATACTTAGGTTATTTTAGTTGGACTTTTATCCTTGGATGTGCCTGGAAAGAAGATCCCTGATTCTCTGGAGGGCGTAGATGAGGTGTAAGTGTGCCTCTAGGAGCTTAGCAGTTTGTGTTCTTCTGCTTTCGTCGATGTGACGAAATGCCTGAGATCAGCTTTTGTTGGAGGCTGTAGTCTGTGACCCCCTGGTCCACTGGTCTCTGGCTGTGACACGGTAGCACGTGGCAGGGGTGTACCGCAGAACATGTATGCTCACTACCAGGAAGCCAGAGGGAAGGGACCAGAATCCACAGTCCCTTTCCAGGCACACTCCCAGCGATCTAACTTCTCCCAGTAGCTGAAGACCCAGCCTTTATTTAACACACGGGCTGGTCTATTCGGTGGGAATGATACCCCCAGTTCACACGCAGCAAAGCCACAGGTCTCGTTTTCATTCCCTAGGTATACCGTTGATGCCACAGGAGCTTGCTTAGACTGTCCCTGCCTGGAATATTCTTTCCTAGTCAGGGTGTCATGGGCCTCTTGACCTTCCTGTCCCCACATGTCCTCCCCTCAGAGGTCTCCCCAGACCTGGCCATGACGTGGCCACTGAGTGCCAGTAGCGCCACCAGCTGCAGTTGTGCCCACGGTGTTAGCTGCTGTCTCGGGCTGTGTCACGTGTCTTCTGCTGCATCCAATTAAAATGCCTTGACTGGAGACCCAGGGTCCATGGCACCCATGTCATTAAATGACACTCACAAACAAAGAGCCAATGACAGTTCATTTTGGGCCTGCCTGACAGACACCTGCATCACCCTGTCCATCACTCATTTTGATTACCACGATTGCTTAATCTAGACGTTCCCCAGTCCATGACTTCATTGAGTCCTCTCTAGCTTGTGACTAATTCACAATGTTAGCCTGGCGGGCTCTCCTGAGACAGGAGCCATAGTGCAGTGGCAAACAGTGCCGGCCCTGGAACCGATTTCCTGCCTGAGGTGCTCTGACATGTGGCCGGCGGCCTGACCTGACTTTGCCTGTCCTATGGGAGGGTAGCAGCAATGCATACCTCATTGGGTGGTGTGAGCACCAAATGAAAGGATAGATGTAAAGCCATTGGGATCATGTCTGTAGCATAATAAATGTTAGGTAAAAATTTGTGTGTGTTTGTGTGTGTGTGTGTGTGTGTGTTTGTTTGTTTGTTTTTTAATTCATTTAAACAGCAAAAGTAATTGAGTTGAGTTTGAAAAAGAAAATGAGAAACATTGAAGCCAGGAAGAGTTGCATATACCTGTAATCCACTTGAGAGGCCGAGACAGGAAGATCAGGGGTTCAGGGTCAGGGCAGGCTACATGAGTCCATACCTCCAAAAGAGAAGCATTGATGATTAATGGAGCACACATTGTGCCTGTGGTGGTGAACTATTTCACCTTACAAGGCAGAAGGTCTGTTTCTTTCCACGGGAGGAAGTGAGCCCTAAGAAGCCAAACATCCGATTGACTGCCGAGAGACTGGCTTTCACTAAGAGCTCTCTTTGGTTGTGTTTTTACATCATGTACTACCTTCCTAGAAAACAGGTGTCTGAAATGTTCTTGGAAGTTACTGTCAACCCTTGTATTTAGTTACGATATGGAGCAGGACCCAGTGCTGGTGAGCTGGCAGCAGAGTTTGCGATCTGAGTGTCTGACTTAGAAGAAAAGGTCCAATGAAACAGTAAGAGGTCACGAGTGTCCTCGTGCCGTCCTGAGCCTCAGGCCAGTGAGATGGTTCAGCACGGTACCTGTGACCCACTGGAGACCTGAAACCCACATGGTGGAAGCAGAGAACCAGTTCTGAAAGTTGGGCACTGATCTGCACACATGCCCTCCAATACCTACCTACACACACACACACATATAAATGTAAAAATGAAAAAGGTTTTAAATTTAAAAAATAAATAGACAAGCTTCATGATGAAACCCAAGTTGCTAAATGTAATGTCTTCCTTCTGAATAGTCTTAGAGATGGTGCTGGAGAGACAGCTCAGTGGTTAAGAGCACTAGCTAGCTACTCTTCCAGAGGACCCGGGTTCAATTTCTAGCACCCACCTGATGGCTCACAACTGCCTGTAACTCCAGTCTCACCGGGTCCAGTGCCCTCTTCTGTCTCTGTGGGCACCAGGTACACAGGGTACACAGACATACATGCAGGCAAGTCATACATAAAAACATAAATTTTCAGTGGACTCAGAGAAGTCATTCTTTCAAGGTCACAGCAGTCCTCCGTAGGCCTCGGTCAATCTGGCCTCGGTCACATGCCAACCTTGGGGAATGGGTCCTGAGGTGGCTGAGGTTGACCAGTCTGGTCCAGTATCTTCCCTCATAGCCCCATCGCTGTCCCATAAAGGAGGATGGGTACTTCTTAAAGAAAGAAGCACAATACAAATCCAAAACACACTGGATGATCCAGGTACTAATACATTTTATCTGCTGTTTAGTGGGAGGAGCCCCCCCCAAATTATCTAAAAGGAGTTGTGGGTAAGCTAAAAATAAAATGACAGGAAAACACATAAATCAACTCTGCTCACATGTAGAGAAGTAGATGGGGAAATGATGGCCTTTGCCCGTCATGTGTCCCCCACAGTGCGAGGTCTCTAAGTCCTGGCTAAGTGCCAGCAGCTGGTGAGAGACCTGCTTAAAGAACTGGGACAGATCATGACTATTATCTGAAGTCTGTAAAATTCTCTGTGATTTTTTTTTTTTCACCTTTGGCTTTAAATCTAAACTCTCCAGTTACGGTCATTGTTAAAGGCATGGCTGCTAGCCAATGGGTGTTTGGAAGGCAGCTGGCTTGTGAGGGCCCTGACTCCATCAATGGATTAATTCACAGATGGATAAGTAAGTTAATGGCATTGTTGGGTGGTGATAGAAACTTTGGGAGATGGAGCCTAGATGAAAACGGTAGAAACAAGGATGAGCCCTGGGAAGACGTAACTTGTCCCCGGCCTCTTCCCTCTTTCTCCCTCCCCATGCTTTCTCTGCTTCTTGCCATCTTGATGGGAGCATCTCTTCCCCCATCTGCCTGCTCTCCACTGTGATGCCCTGCATCAGCAAGGCCCAAAGCAGAGGGACCGAGTTACCTTGGATGAAACCTCTGAAATCATGAGCCAAAATAAGATGTTTCTTCCTTTAACTGTTTTCCTGAGTATTTCACAAAGCTGACTTAACATAGTAATAAAAGCAGATAAAGGAGAAGTCAATGACTTTATAAAATGAAAATATATAGGAGTTGTCAGATGGCTCAGTGGGTAAGAATACTTGCTCTGCAGGCATAAAGACCTGCGTTTGAGTTCCCAGTACCCACATAAAAAATGCCAGGCATGGTTATCCTTGTAACCCCCTAGCATGGGGGAGCAAAGAACGGCCATCTCCGGGCAATAAAACAGGAGGTTATAGGGGGAATAATTCCTGGTTTCTGCTCACACCTGTGGATGCATGCACACACAACACAGAGAGATACACCCTGTTCACCAGGGGAAGGGAGGAGCTGCCCCTTGCCTTGTTTCCTCTGACTGTCCATCCCCTAGGTTTGCCTTTGTTGAACTCACTCTTGGCCAATGACAAGGGGAAGCAGGCAGCTCCTGATGCATACCTCCAGGTAGAGAAGAGATCCCGGCAGCTAACTCTTAGTTCAGCCCAGCCCACTTATGTTGGGAAGGGAAACGGGTCTTTAGACGTCTTTGGCCTCACTCTCCACAGGAGATAGTCACATAAGGTACAACCCAATAAGTCCCTGTAGATAGGGACTTACTGGAGGGCCTAGAAAATCAGGGTCCGCCCTGGTTATATTGAAGCACACTCTTGGGTTTTACTCTGTTTATTCTCTGTTCATGATCCACGCAAGACTTCTTTGTTGCTCTGTGTGTGTGTGTGTGTGTGTGTGTGTGTGTGTGTGTGTGTGTATACAAGCATGCATACCACAACTCGTGTAGAGATCAGAAAACAGCTTTGGGGAGTCAGTTATCTCCACCCACCTGGTTGAGGCCTGGCCTCTCTTACTGTTTCTGCCCCTGCACTGTGTACTCCAGGGCAGCTGACCCATGAGCTCCTGGCCCATTCTCCTGTCTCCACCTCCTACCCGTCCACAGGAATGCTGGGATTGCAGATTCCCACTACCACCTCCTGCTTTCTGCGTGGGTCCTAGGAACTGAAGTCAGGTTGTCAGGCTGTGCACAGCACAAGCCTTTGCCTCTCAGTCATCCCTCGCCCCTTGTATTATTTTTAGCCCTTCCTGGGCTGCAGCCTGCTTTGGACTGACCATGGCTGGTGACAGGGAGGGTGAGAATCCATGGCAGTGGAGGGGAGCAGAGACAGAGTTAGTAACTGGCGCCGCCCTAGCCCTTGAAGCCTTCCTGCCTCTACCCCGCCCTTATTCACTCTTGCCCTCCCCAGAAATGCCACTGCTGTTGTCATGTGACCGTGTCTTTGTCCCCAGACACTGCTACTTTGTTCGCTGGCTCTGTCACACAAGTCTCGCATCTTTGCTCTGGGCACTGATTGGTGGCGGCTCAAGAACCTTCACACACCCAAAGGGGAAGACCTCTGGTTCAACACAGGGCTGCAGGCTGGGGGCTGGCCTTTCTGGATTGTAGGGGGAGTGGGGAGCTGTGGCGGGCAGGGGTTGTGCAGTGGCGTCCGGAGGCCAGCAAGCCAAGTTCCCCGTTGTGGCCTCTGCTCACTCCTCCTTTCCCTGCTTCTTCCTGTCCGCAGGCAAATTCTACTGTAAGCCACACTACTGTTACCGACTGTCGGGCTACGCGCAGAGGAAGAGGCCTGCAGTGGCTCCCCTGTCTGGAAAGGTAACTTCCTATGAGTGGGACTCTCAGAGAGGAGCTGCAGTTGGCTGGATGCAGACAAGCCAGGTTTACCAGCTTCTAGTGGTGCAGGTCTCAGAGACAGTACTTGGGGGGCTCATTCTAAGCAGGGGAGCACCCTGCTGCTCACCATAACTAACCGTTCCTTCCCCGAGGTCGGAGCTCTTCTCCTTGTAGCTGGAGAATAAGTGGCCTTTTGCGTCCGCGGAGTCCCCAACGTAGGTCCCATCCATGGAGGGAAAACACTTCTCTACCGAGTCTGTGCAGACCCTTCTATCCTCTAAGCAATACAGTGTAATAACCCTTTACTCTCTATGGTGGCTCCATCGTGATATCAGTCGTCAGAGAGTGTTTAGAGTTGGCAGGAGGGGTACATATATGTTAAATGTCAGTGCGCCACAGATCTTGATATCTAAGAAGTTGAAGACTTCTTTCCGGGGAAGACTTCCTCTCTGAGGAATACAGTAGACAGTCAGAGTAGCCATTCTCGGGGTTCATTGAGGGCTACAGTCAGAATCACTGTTTCTTTTTTCTTATGGACTCTTCTAGGAAGCCAAAGGACCCCTGCAGGATGGTCCCGCCGCAGATGCGAATGGACTGGCCAGCGTTGCCGCCAGCTCGGCTGAGAGAACTCCAGGTAGCCTCACTTCCTTGTTTGACTGGGTGGTGCACCACTCTCTCGGCCTCTGTGACAAGGCCAAGGGGATGAGCCAGCACCTCCAAAGCAACATTTCTTCACTCGGGCATCAAGTGGCCCAAAACCCGCTGGATTCCTTTTTCATGTGTCAGCTGCTGGTGTTTGGAGTCCCCTTCCTCTATGGCCTGTCAGAAGTTCTGGTGCAGATTGGAGGGGAGTTTCACTGGCAGACTGTGAGCCAGTGATGGTGCTGTCTGGTAAGTGGGGTTACCTCACGCTCCCGAGACACGCCAAGGTTCTTGGTGCAGACGCTGTACGTAAACAGAAACCCAAACGAGGCTGCTATATCATTGACCCAGGGAAAGCCCAGAGCCATAGGCTTCCGTGTGACTCCTGTGTAGGGCCTGTTTCCTGTCACAGATGTGCAACTGGGGCCCGCAGTTTGAATGTGTCCACTGTAACTTGAAGTTTTCGCATCCCATTCCCCAGCTCTGTGTCCAGATCGTCCATGTGGCAAGGGCCACCCTCTCCTAATTACTTTAGGCATCCGAGTGTCCAGGGAGGGTCAAGACCCCCTTGTCCCATTCTCGTTACCACTTCCTGTGTCAAGAGCTCAGTGGTACCATCCTACCTCAGAACACATGCCAGCTCTGTCCATTGCCAGGTAGAATAGGGAGTGTCAGGAGCATGAGGCCTAAAGAGAATTGTCATGTTTTTTTTTTCCTTAAAATGTCCCCCTGTCTGCCTTTGTAAAGCTAGCCACAGTTCTGAGCACTGCTGGGAGGTCCTGAGTACCCTGTGGCGGCCCCAGACAGCGCTCATGGGTCACTCTTTATGTACGAAGTCTATGGGCTGTATTTCTGTATGTTACACATTTTCTCTTGTTTACAACAAATATAGTTTTTATTCTTTCTTTTTTATTTTTTGTGGGGGGGTTTTTGAGATAGATTCTCACTATGTAGCCCTGGCTAGAACTGGATACGTAGGCTAGGCTGGTCTCAAATTCACAGAGATCCACCTGCCTCTGTTTCCCAAGTGCTGGGATTAAAGGCGTGCGCCACCACACCCAGCAGCAAATATATCTTACACAGCCAGGTACAAACTCAAATAAAAATGAAAGATTATCAGCCAGTGCCAGAAGCCGCAGAGGAGCTTGTGTATACTTTCCACGATGGGCGGGGAAGAGGAGGAGGATTTTCTTAGCTGCTTCTGTTGCTGAAGTGAGGAGCGGACACAGTCCTCGGGCACTGCCAGAGAGGGGAGGATGTGCCTGGGGCTTGGCAGGAGCCCTGTGGGGGTGGGGTGTGTTAAGGCTCCGAGGCACAGAAACCCAGTCAGGCCTGGTGAACTTGACTGCCACTTTTCTGTGTTCCCTGCTTATGCTCTGAGGAAGCGGAAGCTTTTGAGGTGCTCTGCTGGGGGGGACCCACAGTTTATAACCATACCTAAGCCCCAAGTGACTCAGAGCCCTGTGTAGTCTGTCAGCCTTTGCGGATATTTCTCGAGAGTCTGCCACTCCAGAGCATACACTGGCGGGAGAAAGGACCCCAGCTGCAGACACAGCTGTGGCTCTACACAGGTCTGTGCCTGTGACCAGGTGAGAGCCCTACCGAGCAGGCTTGCCGAGGAACCCGACTCCTCAGTTAGACAGAAAACAGTTCCACTGTCCCTCAGGTAAAGGGTGCAGGAACATTCTTTTTAAAAGAAATATCAATGATTTTGCTAACTCTCTTAGTTTGTTCATTTTGCCTCTCTGTCTGCCCAAGGAAAGCATAGTGGGTTTCAGATTTTCAGGGCACTCTAAAGACATAAGGGGGCCGTAGATAAGGATAAGAATGTGTTGAAAACACTGAGAACATGGGACTTGCCAGCATGGTTAAAGAATCAGAACAACTGAGAAAGGGCCTAAGGCAGAGCGGGTTCTGTTCTGAAAACAGCAGGAGAGGTTAAGATTCAGAGTCCCAAAGTATCCCAGGCTTGAATGTCCAAAAGGAGCAAGGCTGGCACTGTCCCTAGCCCAGGGGACTCCCTGCAATGGGAGGCCAGGCTCGGGGTTTGGAGATCACAGCCCTGAGTCGTGAACATGCCCAGAGCCCGGCCGCTTGCCCTTGAGAAGGACTGGAAGTGGGCGGCATCATGAGAGATGTTTCAGAGCTGCCACAAAATGGGTCTCTGTTCTTCTTTGGTAGAAATGCCTTCTCCGAATCCCACAGTAGCTTTGAGTGCTTGGCTAAACTTCCTCCAGAAAGGTCCAGACGTAGCTCAGGGTCTCAGGCTTCCAGAATGTATCACAGAAGAGGTCTTAACCTGGTCCCTGTTCTCTCACATGTGGCTGCCTGTGCTCCCTGGAACCCAGCATGGAGGAGGAGCAGGAAGAGCCAGGCTGAGGCCAGCGACCCTGCACCTCCTTCCTTTTGTAGCTCTCCATTCTGTTCCCTTCTTTCCCCTTAGGCAGGAATTAATGCTGTTGGCAGAAACAAAATAACAGCAACAAAAATGCCCCAAGATAACAATAGAACCCACCTTAACCTCGCACAGGCCTAACTTCACACGTTGTCTTCTCTGGTAACCCTGTCTACTGCTGCTTGATCCACCGTTTGAGACACTGTGTACGGTATTTCTGTTTGTAATGTGCTTTTAATATGGAACGCCTCCTTTTGTTCTTGAACCTGTAAATGCTTTGTCTCCAAGCCTCCTCTTCTCATTGCTACCGATCAGTGGGCCTGGCACAGATCTCCTTACCCTGGCCTCACAGTACCTGCCCGAGTTTAGGAAAAGTCTGGTCAGCAGGCCAGGAAAGACCTGGATGGGATGGCTGTTCTCTTGGATGTGAGCCCTTGCTTGCAAGTGGTTCCTTTTTCAGGTAGAGGAAGTCCATTGCACTGAACCAAAAGTGAGGCACAAGGCACGTGGGTGGGAAGGGAAGGGAAAGAGCCTTTCTGCCAGTGTGCAGAGTCTAGAGCATTTGCAGTGAAGAGAGCAGGCGGGAGGCGCATGCTCCCCAATTGCCTGTCTCCTAACCCTAGGCACTCTTTACATGCCATATGGTACCCTCTGGCTTCCACGGTTGTATCCCTGTGGGCTAATAGGAAACACAGGCACTGCCCACACTAGCCAGAATAGCCACATGCTACAAAGAATGTCACCATGCCTGATGGAGGTCAGAGATCCTCTCCTGGCTTCCTAGGGCCTCTTCCCTTCTACAGCTGCTGAGTAAAACCCAGCAAAGGGAGCACTGTGGAGCAGCTGGCATCCAGCTGCCTCCCCAACCCTACCACCAGAGCAAAAGCGAGCAAAGGTACTGAGTGGACATTTGTGTCTGCACTCCTCTCTACGTCTGTCCGTACATCTCTGTGTGTATAGGTTTAAGTACAGTGTATAGGTAGATACTACTTATGTATACTGTGCCTGAAACAGAAACAGTGAGACTGTTTTTAAAGCTACTTGTTGATCTGAAAGCCATAGGAACTTTCTCTGGAAGCTTATCCTGACTTGACCCCGGCCTAGTCAGGATTCCAAAGAAGCTCAGCAGCTAGGCACAGTGACATTGGAGGCATAGACATGGGGCTAGGTCTCTCAGGAGATGGGTGGTACAGACCCCAGAACTCAGGTAATCTGTTTTCCTAGTCGGCAAAGCAGTAGTCTTGCTGGAATGGGGACCAGAGAATTACAGACACTTAACTTCCCTCAAGACAACCTGTGGGCTATATTGGCTTCCCTGTAGCCATTCTGCTACCCTCTGTCTTAGTATTTACTATGCCCAACTGCTTCCTGCAGCACGGTGGGAACATCTTAGTCCCTCTGTGCCACTGAATACTGGCCAGTGAAGTAAGGGACTCACTTTGAATCACCCTGCAGTTCCCTTGGGGTGAGGCAGGAGCGGGGGCAACAAACTGTGCTCAAAGCTGTATGGTACATAGACGCCAGAGTGGGGAGGATCAGCTGTGCCAAGGAACACTTCGCCTGTCCACTCTGACCTTCCCTAAAGCTTTTCATTTGCCCTTGTGTTTTTAATCTGTGCTATTGTGAGGTTTTTTTTTTTTTTGGTGTGTTGCTTTGTGAGTTTTTTTATTTAATTGTGTAACTTTGTTTTCGCCATTACTGTGAAACCAAGGTGTTGTGCTTTAAGGTGTTTTTGGTTTTTTTGGGTTTTTGTTTTTTTCACAAATGTTACATTCGTGTTTAAGAGAATAAATTCCGAACAATCTGCAGGTTTCTGAGTTTTTCTTTTCTTTCTCTTTTTCCTGATTGGAGCGTGGGAAAGGGGGAAGTCAGGCAGGTGTGGGCATGGGCTGTAGAAGCCACTGTTCCTCAGGGCCCTCATTTACGCTGAGGGTAGGAAGAGCACAGATAGCCGTGGGGACCAGGTTACCCACGCGTATGGAGTACCGCTAAAGGAAGACATTGTACAGGGCGTGGCACGAGGCAGCCACTGTAAATAAAGAACAGTCTGAGCCCTCCACCCGTGTGTCGCCTGTTCAGTGAGCCAGCGTGAGGGACCTCAGGCGAGGCAGATGAAGGATAAGTTTCTACACAGAGCCCAAGTCTACCGAGGGGACATAGCGCCAGGTGCTGCCAGGAGAACTGGGACCAGTTAGATGTCTTCCCTGTCTGTAGCTGGGCTTGCTCAGGCGTGGTGATTGGGGTCCCGGTCACATGGGGATCCTTGCTCACAGCTGGAGTCTCTCCTGAGCTGTCTTAGAAGGGACCTGGCTCCTGAGTTCTGTTGTCTAGTTTCGTTGGACCGTCCTCAAGCCTGGAGAAGCCAGGCTCTCCTAGTCACACGCGCTGCTGCTAACCAGGGAGTGGTGACACTTCTGCCACCTCAGCGTGCCAGCCATGGGAACAGAGGGCACCTTGGTGGGTGAGTTACCCTGTTGGGACATCTGGGTGTTGTTCCTTGCTGACATGTACCCGGCCAGCAGCAGACCTCTGAAAAGCCGAGACACATCAGCTTCTTTGTGCACCTGCCCTCCCTGGCACACTAACGCCCCTCTCCG